CTGAGGCATCTTATGATTGCTACAGATCCAACCAGTCAAGGGTCCTACAAAGGACACAATGTTGTTTACTGCTTTTATGTCAGGATTTTCTCATGAGTTTTTGTACTTCTCCAGTTGTATCAATTTTGTTACATTATATGATCACGTAATTATACATGCAAGAACTTTTAAACCATTCAAACGCAACTAGACAAAAGCGAATGCGCTGTCTGTGAACTTCCTGTCTATGATACACACAACACACAGAAGGACGCGTGCTAGTATCGTGCGCACAGACCACGCCAGAATCAAGTTCTCTTTCACGCTTGAACGAACAATAACACTCACAACAAATTGTCAAAATGTCCATTTTGTTGAGTATCCTCATTAGAACAGTCTTAAATTGCTTAAATAAAAGTTGTGATTTAATCTAGTTTATTTATATAAGTATATATAACCTAAAAACTTGTTGCATCGCACCTTGCTGTTATGTAATGTTGGAGTATCCTTGTGGTAATTCAAATGAATGTCTTTGTTTTGACAGAGTGGGCCAGGCAGACGCAGAAAGACGTCAGGATATCGTTCTGAGCGGAGCGCACATCAAGGAGGAGCACTGTATCTTCCGCAGTGAGAGGAACCCCAGCGGAAATGGTAGGTGTTCACTTGCGTCTTCTGATCCATTTATCTGTTTTCATTTCAGATTGCCAACAGTAAAACACTTTTACATCGGACATGATCAGCTCAGTGCAAATTAACTTTTGTCAAAGATTATTTCCTCTCCTGTATATCCGATTAACTTTGTTAATTACACTTTTACTCAATGAAAACCTGAAATTGCTGCTGGAGGTAGTGTATTGTCTTCTGTTTCTACAGTAATTGTCACTTTGGAGCCATGTGAGGGATCTGAAACATATGTGAACGGAAAACGTGTGAATTCTGCTGTCCAGCTGCGCTCAGGTGAGCCACTGACAGTTGTCTGCACAGTACAGTTCTTAAGCTCTGGTTTAATCTGATTGTTTGTAGGCATATGAAAACTAACGTGATAAAAAAAAAAATATTTGTTAATGTGCAAGTTTATTAGCCACTGTAAGTAAATAACTAGAATAATAACAAAATGCAGTGAAAACGTTGAAACTAGTGTTTATGATTACGATACGAATACGATACTGAAAGCCCTTGCACATTCAAAAAGTTGAAAAAGTGGATAATACATGTATGCACAAAATTTGTTTTGAGGCCATTATATTGTTTCAATGTATACATACTTGCTCATTCCTCAGGTAACCGCATAATCATGGGAAAGAACCACGTTTTCCGGTTTAACCACCCTGAGCAGGCCCGCGCTGAGCGCGAGAAGACCCCGACGGCGGAGACCCCTGTAGAGCCAGTGGACTGGACCTTTGCCCAAAGAGAACTGCTGGAGAAACAGGGTATCGACATGAAGCAAGAGATGGAGAAGAGGTATGTAAGAAATAACAATCATGGGATATTATTAAAGATAAGGTTAATACAATAATTATATTGGTTATATGAAATAATTTTGACTCAACCCTTCAGGCACTTAGTAAGTTAGTAAGTAGTAGAAAATACTATATATTCTCTCTAGTTTCTAGTTAACACATTTATGGTTAACACATTTTGAGTGTTTATTGCCTTGCCCTTGTACTTCCATTGTAAGTGCCTTACTGTCAAATTCTTTAGAGGGATTCCAGCTTATGCATAGTTTATGGTTGGATCTAGCCAACCAAAGCCGGGGGCCACCCAGCTGCTAGAAAAGACAAAATCTACATTTTGTGAAGTTTAAGCTCTTGGCATGGAATGTGAGCACATAGGAATTGAATTATCGTAAGAAGGATTTTTAGGATTATGTTGCGGAAAGCAAATGCACTGAGCGTAAGAAAGAGCAGCTTTTTGATGCAGTGGTCTTGCACTGTATTATATCAGGCTTACAGAAATGGAGATCCTGTACAAAAAAGAGAAGGAGGAAGCGGACCAGCTACTTGAGCAACAGAGACTGGTAAGGCTGAATCTCTTGTTTCTTCTGTTGTTTATTAGAGGACCCTTACTTTTATTCCAATTAGACCTTTATTTTCCTTCCAAATTTTGTCAGGACCTTTCTTTAGATTGTGGGGAGAGATATGCTATTTGATGAACCGAGTAAAACGGTCCCCTACTTTTCTACTTGCTCTGCTGAAGTCCAAACAGCACTAATTCTGCACTCTTAGCTCTGACAACTTGAGACTTTTGTGTGTATGTGTGTGAGAGAGAAACACTTTTCCCAGTGCATGGCTGAACCTCTTTGCATGGTAACTGAATTCACTCTGTCTGGATTGAGATAGCAGATGGCCCATTGCTGATATGAACTGATTTACATATTCAGTTTGATACAGCAAGAATTTCTTATTCAAAAATTCACTTCTCTCTCTTAGATTTGAGATTTAACTTTGAGGCATCAACAGAAGAATACTAATTTGGTTTTTAATTAGTAGTATTTTATTAGTTTAATTGGTATGAATTCCATTGTTATGTAAGAAATTGGTTTGCCATGCACCAGTTAAAGACCCCATGACATCAATGAGAAAATAAATGATTTGTCAAATTTCATCAAACTATGCTTTTCAAGCCTTTTCATGGGGTATTTAAGTTAAATTGGTGTAGAACAAAAGTCCCTTTCGTTGGTTTATTCTAAATGCTGCTTTTGCATGTTTTTTTTGTGTGTAGCATGTTTAACAGATTAATTTACAGGGTACTTAGTACCTCATTTAGTATTTGTTTGCTGGGCAGTGTTTTTAAGCTGTTCGAGCTTGAGTCAGCATTTGATTTATAGATTTAGTTTTGTCTGAATTTGTTGGTTTTCTCAATGCAATTGCTGATGTTTCCAATGCATTGTTGCCATAACCCAAGATTTCTGCTGTAGTTGATGAAGGCTAGTGACAATGTGGTTTCTCATTACATCTGTAGCCTTGAGTTCTACACGTCTGTGTCTGGCCCGACACAGAGGGCATGCTATAACACAGCTATCCATGTTGGGGGTCTTATTGATGACAAGCTCTCCAATGCTCTGATGGTCTCATCCATATAATTTTATATACAGAATGACCGATATCCCACACTGCACTGATTTCACAATCACGATTACATGGTCGCCAGCTGCCTCCTCTGTTATTTGACTGTGATTTTTTTTGTATTGTTTTTGTTCTACTTGACCTGGAAAATGAGAAACTGCATTTTCTCTCAACTAACCTCTTAACTGTAGTGGATGAAATCTATGCTTTTAACCTCCTCCGAGCCTGTCCTTTCTCTTTTTCCTCCTCTGTACTGACCTGTAATAAACACGCAAGAGTCTAACCAACCGCTAGAGCTAGAAAAACTCTAAAACCAAATCTTCTCTATGAAGGACTTCATTTGAGGGAATGAAACAAAACTCATCTGCCTTTGCTGCATGCCACTGAAGCATGTTTGGGGTGCAACTATCAAGAGCTCTAATTGAAGAGGATTGCATAAATTTTAACTTGACAAAAAGACAGAAACCAACGCAACAAAAAAAAAAAAGCAGATCACAACATCTATTCCTTTTTGTTTACATTTTTCTCACAATCATGACAGTCATGCCTTGCATTTGATTTTTATATAGTGATATGCAATTTGGGAATAACTGTGACTTGAATTTGTATGTACATACCGTACATCTAAAAAATAATCGTGGCACACCATTCTTAGAAAGCTTGAGTCAAATGCATCTGTAAGTACTCAAAATGCCCTCTAAAATATTCATATCTGCAGGTGCTTTGACTTGCAGTTTAATGATGACTGAATGTGTTAGTTAGAAATCGTCAAGTAGTTTGATCATTTTTCTCAGCTTAATGAATTAAGTTGCAAATTTATTTGCACCAATTTAGCTGTTCTCCTTTTGCATATCACAACACTGTCCATTCTTTACAGGAAACATTCCTTTTATTTTCGATACCCCATTTTAATTTTCCCATTTTGTTTTTCGCACTCTTTGGTTTGTTTCCTGTTTTGTTCTCTTAAGGATGGAGACTCTGATAGTGGTGATGACTCTGATAAGAGGTCATGCGAGGAGAGCTGGAGACTCATCACTTCTCTACGAGAGAAACTTCCTCCCAGCAAGCTCCAAACCATAGTCAAAAAGTGTGGCTTACCCAGCAGCGGTAAAAGACGGGAGCCTATCAAAATGTACCAGATCCCTCAGCGTCGTCGTCTTACAAAGGACTCCAAATGGGTCACCATCTCTGATCTGAAGATCCAGGCAGTCAAAGAAATTTGCTATGAGGTGGCACTGAATGATTTCCGTCACACCCGTCAAGAGATCGAGGCTCTAGCTATAGTAAAAATGAAGGAGCTTTGTGCCACCTACAACAAGAAAGACCCGAATGAACGAGATTCTTGGAGAGCAGTAGCTCGAGATGTTTGGGACACTGTAGGGGTTGGGGACGAACGAATTGAAGATGTCATAACCAATGGACGAGGCGTGACTGACATGGATGACCTAAAGGTGCACATTGACAAACTCGAAGACATCTTGCAAGAGGTAAAAAAGCAGAACAACATGAAGGATGAAGAGATTCAAGCTCTCCGGAATAAGATGTTGAAGATGGAGCAAGTCATCCCACTGATTTCCAATGAGTCACCGGAGAAAACCACTCGCAGTGGACCCATGAGGGCCCGCAGTTCCAGCGAGGGTAAAGCTCCAGAGGAGAGGCCCAACTGTGAACAGTCAGACGAGCAGGTGTCTAGGATGACGGATGATGAATCTTCATTTCGACGTGGGCGTATGAGGTGGATGCGACAGGAGCAGGTACGCCTCAAGAACCTCCAGCAACAGGAGATTTCCAGGCAGCTCCGACGGCAAAATGGACCCCACCGCTTCATCCCACCCGAAGACCGCAAGCTGCGCTTCCCCTTCAAGAGTAACCCCAAGCATCGCAACTCCTGGACCCCTGGCACTCATATCATTATAACAGATGAGCAGGTTATTGAGATGAAAGTACCCAAAGAAGTGGTTCAGGAAGAGGATGACTCTGAGGAGGTCGCAGAGCCCAGAGAGCAAGTGGGACCAACCATCCAGACGTATCCCACTCTTCCCAGTCCCATGGGTCAACGTAGAAGCAAAGATCTAGAGCAGGGTCTGAGTCACAGACATAATCAAAGCCACAAACTCCATGAACGAGGCCGTAGTAACTCCTTCAACAGCAGCCAGCGAGCCTCGGACTCTACGGAGGCCCTCAATTCTGGCAACAGGAAGCCTCCTCACCCCCAAATGGCCTTTTACCAGCCACGCTACAACCAAAACCAGCATAATTATCCGCAACATCAGCATCCACAGTTCTATCATTACAATACTGATGCCAGCAACAACTACCCGCAGTACCCACCCAATCAGCAGCCGAGCCACCACAACAATTTTTGCACCCCACCCCGTATGCGTAGGCAAATGTCCGCCCCCAATTTGAAGGGCGGTCGAGAAACCACAGTGTGATGTTGGAAGCAAGGGCATAGGTTCATGTACAGAACTAGTTGACACTACAAATCACACATCACAGACTCATCAAAGCATTGGACAGCTTGTCCCTAAACTGTTTTATGGCACTTGTTTTAAAGAATTTAAGGTTATTGTCATTTGTGGATCCAAATTGCAATGTTTCCCTGGAGAAAACCACATGAACGCAACGCTTGCATCAACAATTTGATCCCCCATCTATGTTAACTATGCACATTGGTTGAAAGTCTCGCAATAAGAGTGCTGGTTAAAAGTGTCCAAGTCACAAAAAGATTATTTCAAAAAAAGAAGAAAAAAAAATGCTTGTTTTATTAAAGTATTGGAAACGATGAGTTTTAGGAGAGTCACCCTTTAGTTCTTGGCTTTAGTATTAACTTTTTTAAACTTTAGTATATTTTGGAGATTCATGTTTTTGAGAAGTACTTTAACACTGATTTGCCTCAGTTTACCTCTGTTTTGCTGCTGGTGACAGTCTGAATAGATCTTAGCATTGAACACACAACCACTACACTGCAACATTTCATACTGTCCAATGAGAACCTTGAACCGTTACTTGAATTTTGAGTTTTTGAATTTACAATTCAGTCATATTTGTGCATTGAAGGTGCATAGATAACATGTTCAGTAAATGCTGGAAGGTTAATAGCCTTTTTTAATAGCCTTTTTAAGTTTTTAAGTGCCTTATCTGATGCATCATTAACAGGTTGCATTTATCTCTTTGTACTTGGCACCTGAAAGTAAGTACTGTAATAGCAATATATGAAGAAACCTGAATCATTTTTACTGAATTCCCATCTCTCTTATTGTGGAAGGTATAGATTCTGCCCTGTACATTTGAGTAAAAAAAAAAAACCTGCCACTCTTATTTTATAAAATTTGGTTCTGCCGTATTTTGAGTATTGACCACTCTGCTCTAACTATCCACAGAGGTAATGTTTTTGTATAAGAGCGTGCTTTGCATCTATTGTTCCTCTAACTGTCTGCTGCACTCTGATCCTCAATAGGGGGGACCGTCTGTTCCCACGGGATAGAGTCAGTGTTCTAGAACACTCAGCCATTCTCCTCAATCTCAACATGATTAGAATCACATTCATTTTCGGGTGTTTGCTGTGTGGTAAGCGAGCCCACAAAAAGCATCAGTCATGCCATGGAAAGGACCTCTAACAGGACGGTTTCCATGGTTTCCGAGGCTCATTTTGAAACTAGTAGCATGTTTTTAGCGACGGGAAACCATTAAAAAGCCAAATAAAATTAGCCGGACTTAATTTTACAGCTTATTCATGTAATGTCACTGAACACTTCTCACTTTTATTAAATTTACCACTGATTTTTTTTTCTTTCTAACTAAATAGTAATTACTTTCACTTAGGGTTAATGTAGTTGTAAATCCCTTGCATGTAAGCCACTGTGATTTCCCTTGATATAATTATGCACTGGTGTGCCTCAGCACTCAAGTGCATCCCGTTACCAGCTGCATATTACCAAAGCACATGTTCTGAAATCCTCTAACCCGAGCAAAGAGTTTGCCAACTAGCTCAGAAGTCCATGCTTCAGCATTGCTTCATAAGAATGAAGGACTTCAATGCTTTTGTTGCCTGAATTACTGCCTTATTTCTATTGAAACCCCTTGGTTTTGGTATAGTAAGTAATGCATATTGTATAAAACACAACTGGTTTCTCAAATCGTGCAACTGGTTAACTCAAGAAGAAAGACTCTAGTTTAATGATGAATTGTGTCATTTTTGCTCTCTTTTGAGTGCTCTCTTTTGTTTGAGTATCAAGATACTGTGACATTGGGACAACCAATGTTGTCAGTTCGGGGTGGGGATATCCGTTTCGCTGGACAGATAGGGGGAGTGTTTGAAAGCTGTTATAATATTTTTTTTTAAATCTGTATAGTGCAGCAGAAATGACACGATTCACCTTTCAGTGTAGTACAGCAATGACATTTTAAGTCGAAAATCTTCTATTTGAATGACTCTCAAGACATGCCAACTCCAACAAATGTTATGCTTAACATTAATGTATGGTGTTGCCAGCTACTCTTAACCAGCACAAGAGGAGCTAAGAAAAAGTATACATTCAAACGGACAATGTATTTGACCCTTTTTAAAGTTTTGTCACTTGTCGGTTCAGTGTTTATCTATATACAATGGGTAGTGCCTATAAATGGCCCTGTATTGGGATGGATGGGGGGTGCAACATATGATCTTAAGTGCTCTAAGTATGATTTGTTGATGGTTTACTAATATTGCGATTACCTTGAACTGTGCTGAATATCAAGATTTCAAACAGTGACTGAAATAAAGCGAACAAGTTTGAAATTCAGTGACTTGCTCTGACCTAAATGCTTTCATCTAAACAAACATTATAGAATATGCTTTATATAGCAATCACATTAAGATGTGTATTTCTCATGATCATTTTATTATATTACAGCTCTTAGTCAGTCTTGGGTCTAAAGTAAAATATAAAATGAGTTTGACTTAATGTCCTGATCAATTATTTGATCCATCTGGTATAAGTAAATTTTAGGGCTGGGTATCAAGTTCGATACTTTTTAGGTACCTACTGAATTGCCTCGATACTATCGAATGTCAAAACAGGTCTTGCCTTTCAATACCAAATTTCAATACCTAAGGGGTTAATCTCATCAACGTCAGTGAGCCAATAAGCATGCAGCATGATTAGCTGTGGCAGAAAAGCACTAGTTTACGCGGTTGCCTTAAGAGACGTGGCTCATGGCTGTAGTGTGTAAGTGTTCCAGATCAGTGTTGCCAACTTAGCGCCTTTTCAGACCCCTTTAGCGACATTTTTTTGCAAAAAGCAACTAGCGTCAATTTTAGTGACTTTTTGTGAAATGCTGGGAGGAGCGCATGGCTGCTTTATATTCAAAGAATTTAGATTGACCATTTTCATTTTTTTTCTTTTCGTGTGCTTATTACTTGTAACACTCACTATCACAGAGCTTAGTTCATCTGGTTCCCTAATTCTCTCACTTCATTCAGATAATGTTCCTCATAGGCCTATAAAAAATGTAATCATTCACTATATTATAGCTACTCTTTCTATTGTCTGACAACAACAACAACAACAAAAAGGAAATGAAAACAGCTTTATTTGATATTCGGCTAAATTATATTAAATAGAGCATTAATTTAGAGAGAAAACGCGCTAGGCTGACAGAACGCAAGTACGACACGATGACGTAATTGATATCATCTAGCGACTTTTAGGGAAGGCCTTAGCTACTTTCCTTTGTTGGCAACAGTGGAAAAGATCAAAAGTGTAGCTACGTTTCACCAGACTCAATGCCAACAGTACGCTATGCAATATTTGTGACAAGATGATTGCTGCCAAGACCGGTGTTGTACCGAATTCTTACCCCCGCCAAATTATTACTCCCCTAGTATTGGTAGGTTTAGGATTAGTTGTGACGGAGGGGTTAGGATTAGGCATTCAGATACTGACTTTAATGAGGAAGGTAATAATTTGGTAGATTCATATTAGTGGAAAAAATATCGACAAACTGAAAATGTAAAACCAACATTTTTTGAGGTGACGTAATGTTATTAATACGGATTTGGTATCGAAAAAAGTATATTTCGGGAACCGCTATCAAAGTCAAGGTATCGGTATAAATTTTTTTAACGATACCCAGCCCTTGTAAATTTTAATCAGTCAGAGTCCTGTGTCTAAAGTGAAATATACAAAGAGTTTGACTTAATCTCCTGATCAACTATTTTATCCACCTGGTGTAAATAAATTTTCAGCTGTTTGAAAAACATTCTCATATGCTTAAATGTCAGGAAATGTTACATAACTTGCATATAAAAACATTTTAGTTGAAACCGCATATAAAATGCATCCCTTTACGGTACAGAGTCGGTTCTACAGTACCGGACACCTTTTTCATTTACTAATTAAATATATTATAAATGTTATATGCATTTGGTAGTAAAATGTCTAGACATTAAAATAGCTTTCAGTTTTCAGTTACAACTGCATATATTAAGGCTTCTTCTACATCAGCCACCTCACAGACTTTTTGCACATGGAAGCATCACTTATATTTTCAGAACATGCTATATCCATTAAAAAATAAATGGATGGGTCTTCTTTGTCTATTTCTGTGTGCAAAATTAGTGCTGTTTAGTTTAACTTCAGCTTAAGCCATTAAAAAAATAATTTAAGATGTTTTTTTTAACTATTCCACTGTCATGAACAAGCCGAATGACACACAGTTGTTACCGTGTAAGTTTTATCTCTCCAAGGTTCAGTAAGTGTCTGTAGTGCTGATAAGATCGTGTCTGCTGTCCTCTCTCTCATCATCATCATCGCATTTTCTCAAAGGTATATGAGAGTAAATTGCAAGAGCTGCAGAAACAGGTGGAGACCCGCTCATTGGCTGCGGAGACACCTGATGAGGAGGAAGAAGAGGAGGAAGAGGATGAAGGTATTGGAATTTGGCACTTTTAGTATTAGTGTTCAGCTACATTTATGACATAAAATGCACCCCATTTTCAAAAGATGTTAATCTGAGGTGAACCAGGACACTGTGTAAGTAGGATAAGTTCCTAGATCAATACCATTTGGATCACATTTCTGTCAGAGTCCTAGCTCTATCTATAACCTCAACCCAACCAAAACTACCTCTACAATCAGAGGAAAATACATGATAGGTTGATAAGCCCCTACACCCTTCCCAATCCTTATTGTCTGATGGATTGAATGTTGTTCCAGGAACAATAAGGATATCCTGCTTGGCAAAATCACAACCACCTGTATGTTTGTTCCTGTATTGCAGTGCCCTGGACCCAGCATGAGTACGAGCTGGCCCAGTGGGCTTTCAGGAAGTGGAGATACCACCAGTTCACCTCCCTCAGAGACCGGCTGTGGGGCAATGCTGTATACCTCAAAGAAGCCAATGCCATCAGTGTGGAGCTCAAGAAAAAGGTACAGCACATAGATAACAGGTGTCATGTGAAAATGTGTCGATCATTAAACAATGAAAAAACTGCAAGACTCTTGGCGTAGCAGCTAAAAGGTCTGTCTAAGGCAGTTTATTTCTCAGCCAGGAGGTCTGATCACATTTCCGCAAGGTAAGATTTTTAGCTAAACGATTAAAAAATTAAGCTGAAATCATATATTTGTTTATTTATTTAAAAACACTGGGTTTTTGCATGTGTGTATATATATATATATATAACTGCTTCCTGTGTGAATGGCCTCTAAAACAAACCAGACTAGCGTTACGGATACACAGGACCTAAAACTGCTCATAAAAATTAGATTGTCATTGTGATGGCAGCTTACCAGTCTATTCTGCTATATTTACATATTTGCAGACAGATCTCTGTTGCTTTACTTATTACCCATGTGCCAGCGTTCAACAGTTGGCTCATTAATGCTAAAAAGAGCACACACTTAGAGTTTCATCCGTTCTTTTTCTGTCACCTGCTCTACTTTTGTTTGTTTTTGTCTCTTTTTTTTTCAATTCCTTGATGTATAACCTCATAAAGACCCCTGCTGTGCGGAAACATTTCTCTTCTGGTGATTCTCACAATCATGCACTCTTTGTATTTATAGCTTCAGTGGGGAGTGGAGTGATTTTTGATTTGTTTTACATTAGCAATTGTAAATCTTATGCTATTTTTTGCTTTGTTGCATTACTTCACAATGAGGTGTAAACCTTCAATCTTACCGTCATCAACTCACATCTTTCATCCTTGTTGATGACCTTTCTTCTATCTATTTGTAGGTCCAATTTCAGTTTGTCTTGCTCACGGACACCCTCTACTCTCCGCTGCCCCCGGAGCTGCTGCCTCCAGAACCGGAGAAAGAGCACGACAATAGGCCTTTCCCTCGAACTGTGGTGGCTGTGGAGGTTCAGGACTTGAAGAATGGAGCCACTCACTACTGGTCCCTGGAGAAACTCAAGTAAGCTTCAGGCTGCCAACCAGTCGTTTAGTTTTTGTGCAATTATTATGTGGAACCAATCCATTTAGAAATCTTAAAGATCTGTTTATTTTTTTTTACTTTACTTGAAAGAACTTTGTTTGCTTCTCATGTGGCCAGTCACATGAACATATTGCATCATGACATCCAACATTATATGCTTAATGTCCTTTTTTAATAGTTCAACCAATTGATTTATTTTTATGTAGCTCATTTTAAGTTTAATTCTCGGAAACAAGTCTCTACTGAGCTAAATTCTCATTACTGTGCCAAGCGTCAAATAAGAAGATCCCAAATTACAGTACTTTTGAGCCAATTCCCTCATGTCAAGATGACGATTCTGTTTGAGAAAAATATCACTAAATTTTCTCCTTGGGTAGTCAAACAAAAACAGTCAAAAAGGCTTTAATGTAGAAAGTGTAATATACTGTAGTTGATTTCAATTTTTAAAAAGTGAACACGATTCGCTAGCATGAGGTGTTGATTTGTCATGATCTTCCAGGCAGAGGCTGGACCAGATGCGAGAGATGTATGATCGTGCGGGCGAGATGGCCTCATCCAATCAGGGAGAGGATGGGGAGGGTGCTTTGACCGGCAGTGACCCGTTCTATGACCGCTTCCATTGGTTCAAGCTGGTTGGGAGGTATGCTAATCACATAACCTTGTTCCTGTGACTTGAGATATGATTGAGCATGTTAACAGAGATCAATTCTTTGTAGGGGTGTAACGGATCTTAGTTGATCCGTGATCTGTACGGACTTGGCCTTACAGTTCGGCACGCATGTGATTTGCTTTGTTTGTTTGTTGTAGGCTTATACTGTTTTTCGTTACTGTACCTTCTTAATGTCTTTTTATTATGTGTAGTTTTGTTAGTTGTTCTTTTTATGTTGACTTTAATGTAGACTCAAATTCCTATGTACTTGTATTAGCTGTACTGGTACAAATGGCAAATAAAACTTCAACTCAACTCAAAGATTAATCTATATTTGAATTATAGCAAGGTTACTATTGTCACACACACCCCTACATTTTTTTTCCTGCTGATCTGAAAAATGATCCGATCCGTGATTCAAAAACCATATGATCCGAACCCTAAATCTTGTGATCCGTTGCACCCCTAATTCTTTGTATAATATGTCCTGCAAATGTGCCTACTGAAGGTTTTTTTCAAGTGCTGTGAAATTTAGTTGAATTCTTTACCAACCATTTACATTTTGTCTTAGTTAACGTGTGTGTGTGTGTGAGGGAATGTGTTTGTTTGTAAAGAGCTGTTGTCTTGGAAGAGGGAGCCCATAAATCATTTTACATCTTTTAGTCATTTACACTGTTAACTTTCTCTTCATATTTAAATCATCCTTTTTTTTCAAAGTTAGTATTTTTTTGTTTGATTTGCATTATTTTCATAATCATTATGTGCTTGTTTTGTTTGCTGTGTGCTGGTGTAGTGTTTTATTTTCTAAATGTACTGTTTTCATCGCATTTATTATTATTGTTAAACATTAACAACACCTTCATTTCATGTAGATTGTTTTTTGTTGCTTTCTGCACATTATATACATTGTAGAATTTGTATCAAATTCATTTGTGATTGTTTCATTTTGCCATGTTTTATTTTCATAATAATTAAGAACAGTTTCTATGATCTCTTTCTAAGATTGAAATGCTTATTCATGCAATTAATTATTCATGTACCTGCAATGTCTATTGTTTTCTATTTCATGTCTAAAGTCATGGCCCTTTAAATGTAGGTCATAAACTGTTGTTGTGCCTGCATCCTACCCACGCACCTTTTTTTAGCTCGCCTATTTTCCACGGCTGTGTGAACGAGCATCTGGCCGACCGCACGCCCTCTCCTACCTTCTCCACTAGTGATTCTGAGATTACCGAGCTGGCTGATGAGCGGCAGAGCGAGATGGAGGACTTCATGGATGATGAGGCTTTCGTGGATGACACCAGCTCAGATGCTGGGACCGAGGAGGGCTCTGACATCTTCAGTGATGGGCAGGACCCCTTCTATGACCGTTCCCCATGGTTCATCCTGGTGGGCAGGTTGGTGGTGACCACTGCTCGAGGGAAGCCTGACGAATGAGGGCTGGAAAGAAAGAATGAGTGACAGAGACGGAGAGAGTTGTGTGGCTCAGTGTGCAGCTGTTAATTGGGGTCCATGATCTAAAGATAATTTATATTCATTGAAAATGAAATGATCTAGTCGTGGGAGAGAAACGGCTCACACGGCTTTGCCAGATACCTCCTCCAGTTCTCCACAGCCTAGATTTAACCTCCATCTGTCTGGTTTTGTTTAACATTAGCACACATTTGTTTGTTTTCATCCATTGTATTTATTTTAATCGGGCTGTCAATCGATTTATTCAGTTTCTTTTTAAGGCAAGAAAACTGATCAAAGTGCTTCAAAATGCACTGCTAATACAAGAAAAGAAACACAAATGTATGATAATTCAATAATACAGCCACTTTCCCAGCACGCACAGTTTCTTCCTGCTGCATTTGTTTTTTTCCTGGGGTTCACATTAACATTTTTATGAATGGTTGAGTGGTATGAATTTTACTTGCACTTAAATTTCACCCTACAAGAATGCAAATGAACAACATTGTTAAACATCCCGTCTGGGTTTATTAATAAATTATCCGTAAATAATGTCTTTCTCCATCGACATTCAGTGTTCAAAAGTCACACAAAAACTGTAAAATTTCGCCATGTCAAATTAAATAAATGTGCTAATGGCTTTAAAAATAATTGGACATTAAAACACATTTTTTATTATTTACACCCTTTAACACTTTAACCTTTTGATTTACAGCCCTAATTTTTTCATCATTTTTGTAACTTATTTATTATGTGTGTGTGTGTGTGTATATATATATATATATATATATATATATATATATATATGAAGAGTTCAGATGCAAAAGCCTCTAAATGCCATTTGAAATTTTCTTCTTTAATGATGATTTTTATCAAACTTGTATATTTAAGTTCAGTAATTTCAAGTAATTTCAATATACAAGCTTGATAAAAATTATCATTCTAGAAGAAAACTTCAAATGGCTCTTAGAGGCTTTTGCATCTGAACTCTTCATATATATATATATATATATATATATATAGTTTAATTGTTTTCATTTTTTTATTTCATTTTTATCTGTATTCTTTTTCATTCAGTGTACTGATAAACTGTTATATATCAGTCAGTTTTACGAGAGAGAAGGATAGAGGAGGATGGCAACATAGTCTGAATGGACGCAGAGGCGCAGATGGACCTGCGTCATCGTGACTTCACTGATGCGCTACAGTGATAGCTCTCCTCCATCTTGGCCTTGAGGCTGCCCACGGGGGGAGGAGGAGCTCTCTGACTGCAAACAGCTCCTGAAATTCAGACTATGTGTGCCCCCTAGCCTCTGAAAATATCAGTCTGAAACATTCTCTCTTGCAATAAGCCAATGCCATATTATTTTGTTTTATGTGACTGTACAACATAATGGATGAATTATTTGTTTACCCCTTTTTTCCTTTGGCATTTAATTTCAAGGCTGGAGGGTTTGTTTTCTGTGTTTGTTATTTAGTGTCATCTTAGTAAAAGTGTCTGACACATCATATCCATTATTCTCCAATGGTGTTAATCAGGGTAATGGAGATGAACCTGTGGCCCTTCAGTGAAAGGAAGTCACTGTGCGTAACACTGCTAAGCTGTGCATCTCCTGTACCCTCCATACTTATACGGCTTTATGGATGTTCTGAACGTGTGTGTGTGCATAAGACAGTCAGGCAACGACAGCTCTCTGGGTGGTACTATAATTGCTGTTCTTTTTCCTCCAGAGCCTTCGTGTACCTGAGTAACCTGCTGTACCCTGTTCCTCTGGTGCATCGTGTTGCTATAGTAACAGAGAAGGGAGATGTGCGAGGATTTCTGCGAGTGGGGGTCCAAGCTATCGCTGGTGAGCACCATATTAATGAATTAATTAAGATTCTGCTCAGATTTAACCAAGCATAGTTGATCAATCAGATGTGCTTTATAAACATTCATTTACTCGATTACGGTACGTTTTTTTTTTTTTAACTGTGTCTGACAATCTGTGACACGTGTGTCTTTGGTATTTGTGTTTTTGTAGCAGACGAAGAGGCTCCTGATTATGGATCCGGTGTGCGTCAGTCGGGGACTGCTAAAATTTCCTTTGACAATGAGTATTTTAAAAAGGTAAAATCCAGTCCTGCAGTTATGGTTCCCTGTTATTTTAACATGAGTGGATGCATACCAGAAAAAAAATCAAAAATTTGTCTAAATATCTCCCCACAAATGTCAAATACCCATACAGAGGAGGATATAGACCCAATATGGTGGCTGCGGGAAAGGAAGTCCCACCTTCCTAAAAGTGTCAGTCACTAGAATGTTCTAGAATGTAACACTAACCCTAACCCAAGATGGTACAAATTAGTTTTTATTGAACTGAACAAGCAACATTTATATGATTTTATTGCTTATTTTGTGTTTTTGTGTATGTGTTTGCCAACTAAGGTGAACAAACAGCCAATTCAAGTAGTAGGAGCTGAATCTTCATGCCTAGAAGATTACCAAGTTACCAAGATGGCAACTGTGTGATCTTAAGTTTTTACATGGGATACATACTGTATAATATTCACAGTTCATGTGTGTATGTTATATTATATTTAGTGCTGTTAAAATGAATCGCATTCTTTAACATGTTGACGTTGACAGCACTAATTATATTATGTAAGGGACAATTAACTCCAAGCCATTCAGTTTATTAGAAAATAAATCACACCTGAGGTGGTAATGCTGCCACGACGCCAAGCAGAGTTGCACCTCGGTTGTGCATTATTAATGGACCGGTGTCAATTATTCTGCTTGTATACTATGGTTAGCACACCTCAAGACATGAGATGTTGTATTTCAAGGATATTGTCAGGTTGTTGTCCTTAAAACGCTCTTGTGTGTAGAACTAATCTCTTACACATCTCACCCCAAGCCTCCATCACTAATTCCAAAACATCCTTTTAGAGCTTGTAACGGTGGCTTGAGCCATTTGATAGAAGCAGACTAATCCTGCTATTGTAGGGGTGGTATAATGCCCTTTCCACAAGATGTAAAATAAACCTCTGATGTCCCCAGAGTGTGTATGTGAAGGTTTAGCTCAAATTACCCCACAGATATTTTTATATAGCATGTTAAAGTTGTCAATTCTTGAGGGTGAGCAAAAACGCACTGTGTTTGTGCCTGTCCCGGCACAGAGGGAGGAGCTTCAACAGCTTGTGTCCTTTTACCTCACGCAGACACTGAAAATCGCAAAAAAACAAAAGAAGTGACGACATTTAGACAACATTTCTGAATGGTTAGTCGATGAATGTATGTAGTTTATGTGTAGTTATCTTTTAGTCATTGATTAGCATATTCTGTTTTGATAATCTATAAATCGTGTTCTGGGGGCGAGGTTTGTGTAAATTTTAGGGATGGTGATGTCACTAACCCGAGAGGAATGTAGTGTAGTCTCTACCAGCCGTCTGTTGTAGTTCTTAAAAAAGCAATTTCTTTAAAAGAAAATATGAACTTTGAGAGTTGTAGCGTTGAAGGTGTTGTTTATGTTCAAACGGCAACATTACACAACAACTAGAGTTAGAAAAGTGAAATCCTAATCAACCACACCCCTTTAATGCAGTTATTAGAGAGAGAAAGAGAGAGAGAGAGAGAGAGAGAGAGAGAGAGAGAGAGAGAGATTAAGCGTGTGTGAATTACCTCCGTCTGCGTTTCTCAACAGTGTTCGGCAACACAGTCTTTAATAGGGAAACTGTAAGTTTATCTGCTTCAAGAACAGTGCCGTTATTACATCGCTAGTGAAAAATGTCACTGTAGCTTTTAAGTTGCTAAACTATTTTTAATGATAAAATCGTCAAAGCAGCGTGTGTGTCCTTACTGAATGTGTGCGTTTGAGTGGGAGAAAGAGTGTGTTTTCCATACACATATGTAATAAAACATAATTTTGTGGCCAAAAAAACATTGAAATAATTTGTCATATATTTATTTGCTTTGTCAGTGTCGTTGTGGGTTTTGGTTATTTTGCTGTTGTGGGCTGTAAGGACCTTTGAATTGACTATATCGTTTGGCGAAGTGATATGGATTTTTTTTTTGATGTCTAGATTGATACTAAGAGATTGAATTTGAAACTGAACTTTAAAAATTGATCTTGTCACAAGAATGTCATTTGTACTATTTTGTACAAGGTTTGAGTTGTTTATGCTTATAGTTAGAGACATTTTGATGATCGCTGCCTTTTTCCTTTTTTTTTTTTCCTCTCCTCTTTTACTTCACCATTCAGAGTGATTTCTCCCCTGTGGTGATGACCCGCTCTGGCCTCTCTTTGGAAGAGCTGCGTATTGTGGAAGGTCAAGGTCAAAGTTCAGAGGTCATCACCCCTTCAGAGGAGATGAACCGAATAAATGACATGGGTGAGTGTGGATGCACAGGCCAGCTGGCAACCCCTGAGCTCTAAACAAAACCGTTCAGTCTGAGTGAAAAGAAATGCTTACACATCCAGACGATGCTGTTGTTTTCTGGTATGTCACATTTGATTTACACTGCATCAGTGTTCAGAAAGCTTTACCAAATAGATTCTTCTAGCAGGTTTTAACCGGTCAGACCATGGAAACAGATCTACAGATCTTTATTAAAGGGATAGTTCACCCAAAAATGAAAATTAGCCCATGATTTACTCACCCTGAAGCCATCCTAGGTGTATATGACATTCTTCTTTTAGATACAATATATATACAATCTGAGTTATATTAAAAAATATTTTGTCTCCTTCTTGCTTTATAATGAGAATGAATGGCTGGAGGAAATTTGAAGACCAAAAAAGTGCATCCATCCATTATAAAACTAATCCATTTGGCACTGGGCACTGGCATATAAAGGCATTCTGTGGTGAAGCCATGGGGTTGTGTAAGGAAAAACCTTATAAATTATAATAACTAACTTCCGACAGATGGCTGTACGCATCGACAGCGTAATGATGTACGAGGAAGCTCAGAGGAAAAAGCAAAACACAGTTTTGCCATCATTTTAATTTTTCGGTCAACTAACCTTTTAAAACTATCAACCTGCATTTTTTTGCAGTATATATTTATTTTTATAGAATTATATGATTCTGCAGTGTTGAAATGGTAGTAGTAAAAAGGTAGTTTGACAAAGAAATACTAAATCTACAATTTAATTTAACGTCTAAGATTTTTAGATACATTTCTTAAATAGAACGGTGGTTCTAGACACTAAAATATAATTACAGGAAATGCCAAAGAAAATCAGCCAATATCTACAATTTCACATTAACTGTGTATAGATTAATTTATATAAAAGTCTGATATTATGTATATTTACACATGTGTTTTGTGTCTAAAAGACCTGAAGCTTGGGAACGTGGACACAAAACTGGGTGATGGTTTGGCAGAGCATCTGGAAGTGGGTAGTATTTTCACTTTCCGCGTCACCGTTCTGCAGGCGAGCAGCATCCCGCCCGAGTATGCAGACATCTTCTGCCAGTTCAAGTGAGTCAGCCTGTCTCCATAGTAACCCTTCTTTCCTGTCTCATCGGTCTTTATTCAGACAGAGCACACACACACTTTCACATAAATCATGCAAACGCACAGTCACGCTTCTCTCAGTAATCCTGTCTAATGCTGCCAACAGCTTCCTCCATCGTCACGATGAGGCTTTCAGCACAGAGCCGTTGAAGAACACAGGCAAAGGTGCCCCGCTGGGCTTTTACCACGTACAGAATGTAAGTGTTGAATGCAGCGAGAGAGAAGAGGTTTTAAGGAGGAAAATGAAAATTGTGATGGTATAAACACCCCAGAGTTGTTAATAGAGAGTACTCTCAAAGATTTCATCAGGCTAGATGCTTATAATGAATTATGCTTCATTATTTAGGCATACTATCTATTTGCCTACTATCTTTAGTAGTATCTTTCATAACTTATTTATGTGGTTTTCACATCCAGATCTCAGTGGAGGTGACCGAATCCTTTATTGAGTACATAAAGACCAAGCCAGTTGTGTTTGAAGTGTTTGGCCATTACCAACAGCACCCACTGCACATTCATGGACAGGAACTTGTCAGGTAACAACCTGTCCAGTTTTACATATTTGATAAATATTATCTTATGTTTGACGTAAGATAATGACGTAAACACATTGATGGCGTTTTTAAATAAGAATTGTCAAATATCAAATTTATCTTATATTCTATAGTTTTTACATTGCTGTAAGAGTTGAGTTTGTCATATTAGTGTTATTTTAACATTATTTATGTAAAATTATTAATTTATTAATATGTTGAATTTGCTTTTTTATATCTTAATTGTAATTTTAGTTTACATTTTATTATTATTATTTTTTTAATTCATAATATTTCTGTATTGTAACACATTTATTTTGAATTGAACAAATTTTGCCTCAAGTGGATATTATTTCCCTTTGTCAAAGACAGCATGCTGTTCACAGTTTGATTTGTGTTTAACCTAGAATATTTTTTACTTATTTTATCAGCATATTCATTGTAATTATTGAATTACAAATATTTTATATTTGTTTATACAGCATATAGTAGCAGGAAATAAATGTTCCTACAATCCTAACTGTGTGGTTATGCCCTTGGTGCGTTGCTTAAAGCATACAGATTTATTATAGTTTTTCTTTTGCATGTCTGATTTAATTTTCTGCTTCTCTTGTAGCCCTTCTCAGCCTTCCAGAAAGTACTACCCTCCACCTATGCCTCTATCTAAACCAGGTATGAATGCAACCGTTATATAACTCAAAAATGACATCTTCATTTGTCCTCATGAAGAACATTACATTATTCATTAAGTCAGCTTGAAGGGTCTTAAATTTACATAAGTAACAATTCCTTAAATAATCCTCGCCCAGAGCGTGTATGCTCCTCTATCTCCCCTCTAATTATTAGTGTAATTCATTACAAGATTCATTAAACTAGGAGCTACCTCAGTTCACAAAGATGCTGTAATCTCTGTCTCTTTCGTTTGATACGGTTATCCCTTCTCAAAAGGGCTCTGGATCCCATTTATGCGGCAAGTCAGTTTGAAAGACGAAGCTGTCAGCCGTTCCTGTCCAGACTGTTTTTTTTTATTTTATTTTATTATTTTTATTACAAAGAACAAATCTCCCTTTGCGACCAGGGAGAAAATAAACAAAGGCTGCAGCCTTGAAGTGTCATCCATCCTGACGTATTGATCTTCACCCCGAGCTGTCAGTCTTTTATATCGCGATATGAATCTAGAGGTACTACAGCTCAGCTGGAGATATTTGGAAATGCTGTGGTGCTCTTTGCGATTTATAGATTGTTGATGTAGTGTGTATAAAAACCTAAATGTAACTTATATATGACAATTTTTTACATATCAGTTTACATTAAGGTTACATAAAACCTTAATAAAGAAATATCAGCCATTTCCTAGGTGTTCACATTCGTTTTGTTCAATCCCTATATGTACCTTGCATCTGTATGAGAACTGTATAAGGTATTTAAAAATGTCTGAATGGCACCTGGAGATTCTTTGAACAAAATTTGTGTTACATAAGGTGTTATGTACAGTATATCTTGTTCAAAGAACTGTTAAGATTGTTTAAAATCTCCAGGTGTCATTAAGGCATTTTTAAATACCTTATACAGATGCAAGGTACATATAGGGATTGGACAAAACGAATGTGAACACCTGGGAAATGGCTGATATAATAGCTTTCAACCTTCTTAGAATTGATTCATACAATTATTGAATATCATGACATTTGTCAATTACTTCAGAGATGTTTGAAGGAGGGATTCTTCTCACTCTAATATTTTTAATATTACAGAAGATTAATTTTTTAATATTTAATATAAAATTAAAACTATGTTTTTCTTTCTTCAGAATTAATTTTGATGCAAAGATATTCATGAATGTAGCTTACGTGTCCAAATTCCCCTACATTCTTTAGAATGTCCATTTCTCACATGTAACTCCATCTTTATCTTTGTCATTTCGATCCACATCCTCACCACTTTCTCCTGGGCTGTCTGCCCAGACCATGCACGTAAGATTGAGTTGATCATGTACCTGATGAGCGGGTACGTGCACGGCCAAGTGTTGGACACAATCTCGGAGCATGCAAACGCATTGGCTTCCACGGCCGTCGCCAGTCTAGAGGAAGGGGTAGATGAGCTGTCCCACTTCCCCTACCTCCCAACACCCAACAGCCCCATTCTCAGAGTGCCCAAACACGACGGTTGGTACAGAGCCTCAGAGGCGCAGAGTAGTTTAGATCGATAGAGTTTGGTTCTGTGCTGCTGTGCTTTGATGTACCGTGGCCCTAATGTAGCCCATCATCCCTACCCAATGACAGAATCCCAGTAGATGTTCTTTTAAATGTAGATATTCCTAATGCCGAAGATAAGCTATAACAGCTTTTCCTTGAGCTGCTGAGTTTTTAAGTGTCACTCTCTCTTATTTTTCTCCCTGGTTGATCTAGACTGCAGTGACAGCTGCTTCGTGTTTCCTTTTGTGTTATTTTAAAGCTGTAGTGTGAATTAAATCTTGTTAGGTGTTTTCCATATTCTCTTGCTAGCTTCCCTCAAGATTTTTTTTTTCCGTAAATGACGAAAAGTGTTTTTCCTCCATCTCTGTGCATAAGATTTCCTGCAGCTTTTCCCCAGCGTGAATTGACTCCCACCAAAAAATACAGAGCGCTGAAGGAAATGGAGTGCCGCCCCTTAGTTGAAGTTTTAGGAGCACATCAGCTGTATTGATTTTCCCGATGTAGTATAGAGTTTCTTGTAGCTGATTTTCCATAATGACCCTCCTTTAAGCTGATGCTTTGTGATTTCTCACATTACATGACTCATGCTCATATTGTTTATATGTCATGTTCAGCATTTCTTTTTATAGAACTTGGCCTTTTTAGTGAAAAAAAGGGCTAGTTTAAATACATCAGCCATATGGTGCAGCATATACCTGCCCTATTAATATTTCACTTGCCTTGCAGTGCCAGCCACCAAACTTAACACCATTACTAAGTCCAACCTGGGTCAGTGTGTGAGCAAGTATGACCTGGTGGCTTGGTTCGAGATCAGTGAACTGGAGCCCACCGGAGAGTAAGTGAACCAAAATTTCTGGTTAAAATTGTTTTACTTTGTTGTCTCAGTAAGCAGCGTTTATAGAGAATTTGTGTAATTAAAAATGTTGCTCTAAAGGCTGTTTGCACTTATAAATGATGTGTTGTTTATTTTAGGTATATTCCAGCAGTAGTTGATCACACAGGAGGTCTTCCCTGTAATGGCACGTACCTTTTGCACCAGGTATTTATTCTGGTTTTCACTAATACGAGTATAAATATTTACTTTTACAATGATTCGGTTACAATTCTTCTTTTGGTGCTTTAGTTTGATTCGTTTTATACAGGGCCAAAAATGAACACTCATCAAGCGCCAATTAAAAATTGGCATTGGCGAGTATATGAAACGTGTCAATCGCCAGTTGGCTGGTAACATTTTCTTTAGAATTGTTACAATGCAATATTGTAAGAACATGAATCACGGCAGTTAACAGGCCAGTGCTGCATTGTCACGGAAGTTTAAAGTTTAGATCGGTGCATTCGGTCTTTAAGTGACAGCATCCTAATAATCATTTTTTTCAATCATTAATTTCAATATTCAAAAGTGCAAAAGTTCATTTATTTCAATAATTCAGCTGAAAAGGTGAAGCCTTTATTTGTTATAATTTTGATGATTATGATGATTATTACAGATATAAAAACCTTGTCATAATATTCTAATTTTGAATTTTTAGGGTTTTCGTAAGCTGTAAGCCATAATCATCAAAATAACATATAAAGGCTTGAAATATTTCACTTTGCATGTAACGAGTCTATATAATATATTAGTTTCATCTTTTAAGTTGAATTACTGAAATAAACTTATGCATGATATTCAAATTTTACAGTAAATACTATGCAGACTAAATTTCTCTATCTGAAATGTGAATTTTGGTGTCATAACTGTTTGTTTTTGTAAAAATAGTTTCATGGCTAGTAAAAAAATATTTATGTCCGGTAAATGTTCTTAAGTCAAAAGTTAGTTTTTGATCTTATATATTATAAAAGTAAGATAATTAATAATAAATTAAAAACATGCTTTACATACAAAAATGCAACTGGATGAACAATATTGTACTGGAATAATGACAAAAATAGGCCAGAAAAAAGCAACAACTGTATGTTGTATATTATTATTATTATATAAATTATGATTGAACTTTGATTACTGTTATCAGTGCATTACATTTTCATAGATGTCTGCATTGCAATGCACTCTGTGTTCTTCTGTCTCTACGTTCTGCATTTGCAGTCAGGAAATCTGTAGTTTAGCCTAAGGGATCATGTTTATTGTCCTTAGCCAAGGACATATAAATGATTCAAATGGAGATATCTTTTAGTAACCTGTCTTGCTTGTGTTTTCAGGGCATCCAACGTAGAATAACAGTCACTCTGATCCACGAGAAGGGCAGTGAGCTGCACTGGAAGGACGTCAGAGAGCTGGTTGTTGGTCAGTACAAATTTTGTTTCTGAAATCTTAAAATAGAACATATAATTGTTATTAGAACATCTGTAAAGCTGTATTGACCAATCAGCAGCCAGGACCGTAAAACATCAGTTTTATGAAGTGTATTGTAAAGGCTTCAGTCATCTGACATCGGATCATTGTGCCTGTTGTAGGTCGAATCAGGAGTAAGCCAGAAGTGGATGATTCAGCTGCAGACGCAGTCCTGTCTCTCAACATTATCTCAGCTAAAAACTTGAAATCTTCCCACAACTCCAGCAGGTACGCCGTGTTCACTCTCCACATTTGACAACCTAAGGACATTTTCCCTGTAAAGAGCCTATTAAATCAAGTATTAAGCTAATTTATCTGTCTGAAATCAGTGGCGGGTCTGCAATTGCTCTACTCACCTTCCTAATGCAAACGTATCTACCTAACTGCTTATAATTCAGGAGAGCATCTTAAACATGAGTCACTGCTGGGAAAAATCCTGCAGGGATCAAGAGAGCCATCTAGTGGACCAAAAGAAAAACAGCAATTTAACCAATAACCACAGTGTCCTGTACAGCTCTGTTTATTTAGAAAATCTGCATGTTGTGTTCTTTTAATGATGCCAGTTTGCTTTATTCTCTCGTTTGCTCATTTATTTTCTTTGCCTGTTTAATCTGAATGCTGCTTTTTGTCTTTTGATTTGTAAATATTTCTGTTGCCTGACTGTTTCTGCTTGTTTTGTCTCTCTTTTTGTTCTCGTTCTTTTCCTGCTGCGGTTGGATTCTTGGTTTTGCTCAGCCTTTGTATTGATAGCGATATTGCTAGGTATCAGAACCACCTGATCATAAAGCATTTTTGCCATCAAAGTGCTTTATGAGATGTTTGTGATCTGTAGGCGTAACAGTAGCAGACCTGTGTACTGTACATTTGTGTTAGTCATTCTCTCTGAACTCATTCTACATAATAGTATGAATTAAGGTGAAGTATTACTGTTGAATGTGCAAAGAAAAAAATGCTATATTAAATGCGAAATCAAAATTTTATTTTATTGGGCCTGAAACTTGAAATATGGAATTTAGACATCACTTTATTAAATTTAAACACAGCATATTAAGTGATTTAGACTCCTTTGTTTAAATGTTATCAACAACAGACCAAAACTCAAACCCTTTTGTCATATGGTTGTTTAATGTAATATTTGCTTATATGTGTATGTACTGTAAATGAACATACACTTCCCCTTTTTTAAGATAAAATGGCTCCTTAAATTGGCAAAATTGATGTACAATATAAAATTGGATGTATTAAGTTTTTTTGTCATTCTAAGAAAACAAATCTAAAACGTATAAAATGTGCGTATGTGCATATATATTAAAAAAAATGTGTATATAAGATTTTTTTCATTGCTTTTGCATGTAGTATCTCACCTTAAAATTATTAAATAGATGAGCTTTTGCCACCACAAAACAAACATCTGAATGAATATAGATCTGACATTTCATTTGATTATACTCTACATTCACTGTATTATTACATTTGGCTTGTTAGCAGATGATGAATCTAAATACAGATGCAGGCAAGCCTTTGTGCATCCGTGCCATTTAAACAATGAAATAAGAACGAGAAAAGGGAGGGGAGGGAGTGGAGAAAAAGATACAAGGAAATTTGAGGATGAGTCACCTGTGTGAATCTCATTCTCTGTCTCCATGTGTCCGTTCATATAAATTGTGTGCCTTTGCTTATAGTCTTCACAGTGCTGTAGCTCTGAGTCTCACACACACACACACACACACACTGCTTCCTCACAGTCTACTTCAAGCTCACACTAGATCACTATTAACCTCTCAACACGCTGGTGTTGTGTCGATCACTATGCGGCTCGAACGCATCAACAGAGTATTATGGGCACAGAGATCTCCCGACAATGTGTGATACAGCTGTGTTTTTCACAGCGAGATTGTCTGTCTATTTGTCTGAAAGTTTGCAGGCAGCATATAGTTAATATATTTATTGTAGAAGCCTGATGCTTCACTGTCATATGTGCAGTTAAAAATCAACATGAAATCAAAATTGAACCTATTTTACTGTTAATACACATTTTTTTGGCCTTATTGGGAATAATTCGTTGGTGCATGTTAAATAAAGAGACACATTTTTATTTTGATAATCATTCAGGTATGATACTGCTCAAAAGTTTGGGGTCAGTAAGATTATTTTTTTTATATATTTTTGAAAGAAGTCTGTTCACCAAAGCTGCATTTAATTGATCAAAACACAGTAAAAACTAAAATATTGTGAAATTTTATTACAATTTAAAATAACTGTTTTCTATTGTAATATATTTTATAATGTAATTTATTCCTGTGATGCAAAGCTGATTTTTTTGCATCATTACTCAAGTCAAGAAATCTGCAAATATGCTGATTTGGTGCTTAACATTTCTTATTATTATCATCAATGTTAAAAACAGCTGATTCATATTTTTGTGTATACCATGATACATTTTTTCCCCTATGATTCTTTGATGAATACAAAGATCAAAAGAACAACGTTTATTTAAAATAGTTTGTTTGTAACAAAGTCCTAAATGTCACTTGTTTTTTTTTTAAATACATCCTTCCTGAGTTATTTAATTTTTTTATTATAATTTTCTATTATAAAAAAATACTGGCCTCAAATATTTTGAATGGTAGTGTAAATTTAATAACTTTTGATCCAGTCAATTCTCATTTTTTACGTTATTGTATATTCTGTTTCACTCAGAAATGTAAAATGGGTTGTGAATGACGTTTCATGTTGTCTTTAAGCACAACCACACATGCTCCAGAAAAATAGTGAATAGCATAATTAATCACTTAAGCACCAGTAAATATCCTTCCATGGATTGATATTGTGTCTATATGGTTAAATCAAATGTATTTCTCCTTTCTCAGGACGTTCTACCGGTTCGAGGCTGTCTGGGACAGTTCCCTGCACAACTCTCTCCTGTTGAACCGTGTCACTCCCTATGGAGAGAAAATTTACATGACCCTGTCAGCCTATTTGGAGGTCAGCCTTGACTCTTTTTAAAGGACTAGTTTTTTAGAAGCAGGTTTTACAGCATTGATGTGTGCTTACCACTTCCCTGCAGCTTGATCACTGCATCCAGCCTGCCATCATTACCAAGGACATCTGCATGGTCTTCTACTCCAGAGATGCTAAGATCTCTCCTCCACGCTCCCTGAGGAACCTGTTCGGCAGTAGTTACTCCAAAACCCCTGACTGGTAGAATTTGTTTTACTTTTTTTTTTTTATTTCTTTAACCACAAAAAAACTCAAATGTTTCTGATGGTTAGTTGACTTAAAATACTTATAGAGATATCCTGCATTGTGACATTTAAAACTATTTTAAAAGTGCATTTTAGCAAATGTTACCTAATTTCTGAAAGACTACATGGAATATTAATATTTTAATAAAAAAAATTAAATGATGGACCAGTCAAAGGACAACACTCCCTTATACATTCATATAGAAGTCGTGATTTTGATCTAAGAAAATATTGATGGACATCTTAAACTTATATCTAACAACTATCATTAAAGTCTTGAAATGTGTGCTGTGTTTAGAAACTTTGCCAACAATTTTCTCTGATGTGTTTCCATTACAGTAATAAAGTGACAGGAATCTATGAGCTTAGCTTGTGCAAAATAGCTGACACAGGAAGCCCAGGTAAGATTAAGATTGCTAAACTCCTTTTTTTTTTTTTTTTTTTTACATTAAAAAAACATTTGCATTAAATTATTTAAGAGTGACAAGAAAGATATTTATAATGTTACTAAAGATTTCTATTTTAAATAAATGCTGTTTTCTTTTGAACCTTCTATTTGTAAAAGAATCGCGTTTCCACAAACATATTAAGCAGCACAAAATTGATTTTTTATTTTTTTTTAAATGTCTTGAGCATCAAATCAGCATATTAGAATGATATCTGAAGGATCGTGTGACACTGAAGAATGGAGTAATTCTAATTCAGCTTTGCATCACAGGAATAAATTACATTTTAAAAATATATTAAAATGTAAAACCGTTATTTTTAATTGTGATCATTTTTCACAATATTAGTTTTTACTCTATTTTAGCAAATTCAGACTTTTGCATCAGAAAATATTACTGATCCCAAACCTTTAAATGGTTTTGTAAATGATTTATAAAGAATATTAATAAAATGGATATTACAAATAATTAATACATGTATATGATTTCAACTTCCACACTTTTGTACAAAAAATTAGGGAGATGATATTTCTATTTAGCATGAATGATTCTGCATATTGATATAATAGGCGTGCTGTATCACTCAATTTCATTGTTGTTTTTCAGGTATGCAGCGGCGGAGACGGAAGGTTCTGGACACATCTGTGGCGTATGTGCGTGGAGAGGAAAACCTGGCAGGCTGGAGACCCAGAGGAGACAGTCTGATCCTGGAGCACCAGTGGGAGCTGGAGAAACTCGAGCAGTTGCATGAGGTGACGATAGAAGACTTTCACACTCTATGCTGCCTGTGTTAACCTGTAATACCCCACAGGCAGCTGTGATCTCCAGACCCTGATGTCCATTTCTGTCTTTGTCAGGTGGAGAAGACCCGTCACCTGCTGCTGCTCCGAGAGAAACTGGGTGAGACGCCTCCTCCTAAATCCCTGAGCGAGTCTCTGTCTCCCAGTCTGAGCAGCGGCACCCTCAGCACCTCCACCAGCATCTCCTCCCAGATCTCCTCCACCACCTACGAGAGCGCCATCACGCCCAGTGAGAGCAGCGGATACGACTCTACAGACATCGAGAGCTTGGTAGACCGTGAGAAGGAGCTGGCCACTAAGGTAAAAGACCCTACAAGTACTACTTTAATAATATTTGTTGCGATTTTAATATACGATTCTTTATTAAATGACTATTTAATGACATTTAAATGACTATTTTCATTCAAATCTGTTGCATTTTAGGTGCATTTTATAACTGTACGTTTTCCCTACGTGTGCGCTGTCTGGATCGCGCCATTCTTATGTGACATCATATAGCTGCTATTAGAGTTCCCACTTCATATTACTTTCAATTACACTTTTCCAAGTAGAATCTTGGAAATCCCATTTTAATCTTAGGCAAAAATTTAGGTTTGGTATTAAAAAAAGTTTCTTATGCTTACTAAGGCTGCATTTTGTGTTTGGGATAAAAAATATAGAAAAAAACAGTGAAATTGTTGTGAAATATTATTAACTAAAAATGACTGTTCTCAATTTTTATATATTTAAAAATGTAATTTATTCCTGTGATGCAGAGCTGAATTTCAGCATCATTACTCCAGCCTTCAGTGTCACATGATCCTTCAGAAAGCATTCTAATATGCTGATTTGATTTAGTTATTTTACTAAATAAAAGTATTATATGTCTATTAGAAGGAAGGTGTGTTTATGTCTTTTGATTTCATTTTGCAGTGCCTCCGTCTCCTGACACACACTTTCAACAGTGACTACCAGATGTGCAACAGCATCAGTGACTGCAAGGTAACCTGGACTTAGGTAGTTCATTCAGTTTGATTTGTTCCAGTCTGGTTGTTTTTCACGGTTTTCTGTCTCTTTCAGTTGTCAGATATCTCTCCTATGGGCCGGGATCCATCTGTTACCAGTTTCAGCAGTGCTACTCTCACACCCTCCTCCACCTGCCCCTCTCTGTCAGACTCTCGGTACAGTTCAGATGTTAAAAAAACAAACGATACATTCCAAATACAGTCTTCTAAAAGTGAAGTATCCTAAAAACATCTGTCTTGTCCAGGACCCCTGAAGCTAATTCTCGTGCCACCAGCCCCTCATGCTCAGACTATGAGAACTTCCCCATGGTGCCCATTCTGGAAACATCCTACCTGGCCCGTGCCGGCAAACACGAATTCCTCAACCTTCTGCCTGATATTGAGGAAATGAGACCTGGGTGAGAGTTTTGACATACCTGGCACATTTATTTTTGCGTTTAGTCCATTCTCGCTAGGATCAATGTGAATTTGTGCACTTAAAATTGTTGCTGTAAATAAATATGCTGGTCTTCACTAAGGTCTGTGGTATCAAAGAAGGGATTCCTCAGTTTCATGGAGCCCCGCTCCAACTCTTGGGTGAAGCACTTTGTGGTGGTGCGTCGGCCATACGTGTTCATCTACAACAACGACAAGGACCCGGTCGAGAGAGGAGTGCTGAATTTATCCACTGCCCAGGTGGAGTATAGCGAAGACCAGCAGGCCATGCTCAAGGTGAAGCCTCAAATCACATTGCAACAGTTGGTTTCCAAATAGTGAATATGTCTTAATTATTGCTTTTTTGATTGATTGCAGACACCTAATACATTTGCTGTGTGCACCAAGCACAGAGGGATCCTCCTGCAGGCCAACAATGACAAAGACATGAACGACTGGCTATACGCCTTTAACCCACTCCTAGCAGGAACGATAAGGTACACATCCCAACCTTTGCCAGAAAAAAAAAAGGTTTTTATGCAGTATTTTTGGTACGATTACCTATAGTTAGCCCAGTCTAATGTGTCCTCTCCACCTTTATTTTGCAAACATTCTTTGCATTGGGTAAAAAAAATATCAAACTAAGGCCCTGTTTACAAGTAATCGAGGGAGACTCATTTCCATTTACACCTCCAAGTTTCTTTTGTCCACTTTCGACCACTTCTGTCATGATTTCTTTGAGGGGAGGGTCTATGAGGGTAAATGTCTGGGCTTTTCCATATTTTTTGATCTAATGGATGAAATAAGCTCACACATTTTATATGAATGTGACCGTAGAACATACGGAGAGCAGAATCTTTTGTTTCTGCTCTGAAAGCAGCAAGGCCAGGCCAAACGCTGTGAAATCAGGAATGGTGAAGAAAATTGTGCTTGGTTTTGTCTTCTAACCAAACTTGGTTCTTCTTTAAAGCTGCTGTCTGTAGCTTTTTGGGGGGTTTAAGATGACCCAAAATACATATTTGAGAAAATAAATAACCAGCCAGTGTTCAAAACGATCTGCTTGCCTTAGCTTGATTCAAAGCGGTAAGCTTGTGATAATGTTTTTAATTCCAGTGGTACTGGTGGATTTCCCGCGGGAGATTCGAGCATGTCTTTGCGTCATTACATCACATCTGTACACATAAAGAAGAGTCTCGGCTAGTATAAGCTGAGCCGCACACTCTCCTCAAACATTGTGTTCATCCACGCTGTGCCGTGTCGAGGGTGTCATAAAGTTGATAATTCCGCAAATAACTGCAGTTGCAGATTTCGAACAGAGATGGCGACAAAGAGGAAAAACTGCCGACTGCAGCTTTAAGTCCTTTCTGGCTAGCGCACTTCCCATAATGTTTATGCGTTAGAGTAGGCGGTCCTTTGGTGTTGGTTTGAGCATATTCGACCACATGAGCATCTACACTACACTACGCGTTTTCGACTACCTCGAAAGAGGACGAGCTCTAAATGTTTTAGATCTCTCTTGAACCTGTTCTTGGACTCGTTCACCTGACTCTTTCCATGTTCGCCTACAGGTCAAAGCTGGCGAGGAGACGGTCCGGCCTGATGAAGAACTGAACGAGCGTGCATAAGTGCAGATAGTGCTCTTTTCTCTCTGTCTACCTTTACAGCGTACCAAGTGTGTTAACACTTCTAAATCTTTGTGGTTCTTGACGGTTTCCTCTTGTATGTAGATCTGTGGCTCTGTTCTCCTCTCCAGCAAATGAACTTTTGAGTTCCTGAACACCAAGTCCCTCTCCTCCCCTCTCTCTATTGTGTTATTGATTGGATTAATTCTGTCTTCAGTTTTCGTTCTTTGTCATAACTGAACCTCCTTCAAGTAGCATGTTGTAATAGTCTATTTGTGTGTGCACGAATCTTCAGGGCAGGTTCTGCTTTCACTTGAGTTACTCTCGTTTGTGAAGATCATCCTTACAGTGTTGTCTGCCAGGAAAATGTGGCAACAGCCACAACCCTCAGGAGAAAGTTGGCTTGCTTAAAAACAAAACAATAATGATAATAATAAAATATTATATTATAATGTATTATAATATAAAATATTCCATATTTAATTATCAACTTTCTCTGATAGATATAGAAAACAAAAACAAATAGCTTTGCTCCAGATATTGCTTAAAAAAAAACAGAAAAAGATTTTTAGATGGACCAACGCACTACTTGAAGATGCTTAATTTTCAAAACGAGACAAAAATTCCCCTAAACTGAATTTTATTGCAGTATTGGCTAATTGGATTTTGCTAAATCAAAGCAAGCCATGATACCGGTAGTCGAGATTTTGACCATGTACATACTGCCGTTTACTCGCCCAGCCTGTTGTAATGTATTTGCTTGACATTTAATTCCACATATCAAGGACTTAACAAAAAAAACACACCATTAACAAAATACAGTATGTAATCATAAGACGTATAATACCAAGGAAAGATGATCTCTCACATATCGGTAGCCTCCAGGAGTATTTCTTCAGTAGATTAGGCCAAAAAAATGGTGCAAAAGAATTACCTTAGACACAGAACACCTAACCGAATGAATCCATTTGTACATAACTTTCAGGATTACTGTGCATAACGCTATTCATGGGTTTCTATACTTACTGTATTACTAAAACACCATTTTCAGGGCTGTTTTAGCATGAAAGATCTGATGGGTTTGCCTCTTCTATAGACCAAACGAATGAGCGAGGTACTGATTTCATCGGTTACGGTTGATTTCCAAATGATGGATTCAATTATTTTTCGCCGTTTCTTGAGTCGGTAGGATCATTAAACCAGGCTTTTTTCTTCTTGAGAATTAAGCATCACTTTTTAATATTATTGAACGTTTACCATGTATCTCGACTGATTATCTTAACTTATTTTTATTAACATGTGATCAGTGTTTTACATTATACAATGAAAGGCAAGAAAGGCACTTTTCCTCATTTTTATTTAGCAGTGAAACAGACCAAGTTTGACACTAAAGCAGTTTCCTCACTGTCAGTAGAAATTGGGCCGTTTCTGCAGTTCACTGCAGTGCAGTGTGAGAAAAGGGATGGTATGTGTTCTGCTTTTTTTTATTGTTTTTGTTTTGAAAATCTTTGCTCTGTATGTTTGAAGACTTGCAGTTTGATGGGAGATTCAGGCGACGCAACAGTCCTCTGGTCAGACAACCAGCAGGAATTATTGTCACAGGAAGACTGATCATAAGAAGTCAATATTCTCGCTGCTCATATTTTCACAGGAAACGCATGAAAATGGCTCGGAGAGTCGAGTCCTTGGGTCAGCCAGCCCGTAGGCCTCATCCGAGCTGTTGGATTGTTATGGCATTTGTGAAAATATTGAAATTGAATATTCAGATCTGGCACTTAGTAATGAGCACTTAAGGATAGCTTTTATATAATTACACGAGTTGATGTTAGGAATGTTTGCCAGGGCAAAGGTTTTTGACTTTTTCTTTTTTTTTACCATCTTTGTTGAGTGGCTTGGTTGACTAAAGTGATATTCATAATGAATTTCATTAACCGTATTTATTGTTTTGCAATGTATATATTAGTTTGCAGCTCTTTGCACATAATGTGTTTATACAACTAACAACAGAACAAATAAAGCTTGAACTATGTTGTTGTTTTCTCGAATGAAAACCAAATGATTTTAGGCTGTGGTGTTTTACTCATTGAAGTGGACTTTGAATGTACCTTGAATTTCACAAGAAAATGCATGAATTATCTGATGAAAGAAGAAAAATATCTTAATTAGGGACTGACATGTTGCTGTGCTTCTTAGTTCTCGAAGTAGGAATTTGACCATGTTATAAGGGCACTTTTTCACATTTAGGTTAGATACGGATGGCAGAGTTGTGACGAGGCCTGTTCATTATCACTCCTAACGTCAGGGAATATATTTTCTAGAAATATAACATTATGTTTGGCTTTTCCTGATGCATTGACCTCATGCATTTTTTTTCCCATGCTGCCTTTGAAGCAACCCTGGCTTTACTGTATCACCCTTATCAGAAGCCTAATGTTTCCAGATGAACATCACTCCCTCTCATTGTGATGAAACAACAGAAAACAGTTCAGCCATTTTCATTAACACTGTACATTATTTGTCAGATTGGCTTCATTTTCATACTTATTTTGTAAATATTTCATGTTGTATGGAACTTGGATTAAAATGTAAATATGTCTTCTGTATTTGTAATAATTATAATCCATTCGCTGTATAGCCTAGACGTGTAATGCATATATCTTAATTCTGTGTATGGTAATCTTGCACCATTGACCTGTTTAGTGAATGAGGTAGAAAAATAAAATTACAACCAGTGCATTAGACGAAGAATGGATCTCGTTTTGTGTCTATCTTCCCTCAATACTTAGCATTATATATTTAATTTTTATCTTGTCTACATTTAGTGTCTTAGTTTCAATTATTTAGTTAAAGTAACTTTTCACATTTTCACAATATTTAACGTTCGATTTCTACTCAAATTTAGATATTTTTAATGAGATCTGAGAGCAATTGAAACTTTGCCAGTTGAGTTCATAAAGCTATCATAAAAATAATACATATGAAAATAGTCAAAATGAGTTTGTTTGTTAACTGATGACAAAATTTTCATTTTTGGGTAACTATTCCTTTAAGATGAATAAAAGCTTGTTTTATTAAATAATTGACAAAAGCATCTAACAAATACTAACCCAAGAGCTGAGCACATAAAAACAAAACAAAAAAAATTTGACACGTTATGTGAAGTCTGATTATATCATGCATAAAATGAAAAATTATGCATTTATTTGAATAAAGTAACTTTTTTTTAATATTGCAATTTTTATAAAAGAAACAAAAACGGCTATTTAACAGTTTTACGTATTAATAATACATAATCGAAACAGCTATTTAATAAAGTTTATCTTCAAGCTTCTCAAAAATTTAACTAATTGTCTATTAGTCATTAATAACGTATTACTAACCTTAAAACGGAAAAATTATTTCATATAGCCGTTTAATATGCATTATTTTCACAATTCAACTTTTAAACGCATATAGTTTCTCAAATCATAAGTCGTTATTTGTAAGTGTAGTAATCTACTTAATTAATAATTAAACAATTTGATGAAATTTGATACACTTTACACATGCAACTTTGTCCTACAAAGTCAAACGTCAGCCTCAGAGTTCATCAGAGAAAATCTATTTCCCCATTTACTTTCATGCCAAAAAAAAAAAAGGTGTCGTCCACGTACAGCTCGTCAACTTCATCTGACAGACGGGGAGGAGGGACAGAACGAGATAGCCAATGAACAGCCTCTAATCTCTGCTCAGAAGCCTCCACCAATCACAGATGGAGATACGGATGACGCCACTACCACTGTCATGTGTCCGGCGTGTTCATTGGGAGTTGGTGTAGTGCTTCTGCTCAGGCCGTGAATGAGGAAGTTCATCAGTGACGGAGTTGCTGTAGTGAAATCACAGATCGATAGTGTCATTTTAAGACAGAACCAACCTTTAACCATGGCTCAGTAAGTATGAATTCTGTCTCTAAAACAATAAGTACAATGATATTAAATTTCTGTGGCACCTTGGCCTGTTTATATTACAATTATAATGTGATTTGTTCAAGTTATTTCGCATTATCAGCATTCATTCGATCTATACTAATCTATCTACTTACTATTAAGCACTTTTTCAGACATAGACTTAACGTTGTCATCTCCTATATGGTCATCCAACCAGATTGACATTTGTCATAAACACTCATTTAAAGAAGTTTCATTCTGTAATCAAATATTATTGTTTCTTCTTCTTCTCATAATCGCTATATTATTGACTCCACAGAGCAGATATTGCTCTCATTGGTCTGGCTGTGATGGGTCAGAATCTGGTCCTAAACATGAATGACCATGGATTTGTGGTAAGTCACTCACCAGTGCAGTTACATTTCTCCATTTCTCATTTTCTTGCATAACCCATGGTTCACATCGTGTTTAAGGTGTTATTATAACTATTGTCGTTCCTCAGGTCTGTGCGTTCAACAGGACCGTCTCCAAGGTCCATGAGTTTTTAAACAATGAAGCCAAAGGCACTAAGGTGATCGGTGCCGAGTCCCTTGAAGAAATGGTGTCTAAACTCAAAAAACCTCGTCGCATCATCCTCCTCGTCAAGGCAGGACAGGCTGTGGATGACTTCATCGATAAACTGGTAAATGTCACCATGAATCGACAGTCCTAGTTTGCTTTGTCACCCTGCCAAAGTGATCTGCCATTTTTATCTTTATATTGTAGGTTCCTCTTCTTGAACCTGGTGACATCATTATTGATGGTGGAAATTCAGAGTACAGAGATACAACGGTGAGTTTGTCAATCCAAAACGAGACCGATTAGAGTTCGTGATTATATGAGGTGATGCCGTTCTGGTTTTTGATCGAAATGTTCATGCTCCTCACATACAGAGACGTTGTAAGAGCTTGAAGGAGAAGAATCTTCTGTTTGTGGGTAGTGGAGTGAGTGGGGGAGAAGAAGGGGCGCGTTATGGTCCCTCCCTGATGCCTGGAGGACATAAGGATGCCTGGTGAGGACAAGCATGTATTAAATAAATTCTTCTAAAAATAATAAATAATTATGATTATATATACTGTTCAAAGATTTGGGGTCTTATGCTGAGAAAAAAATACAATAAAACAGTGATAATGTGAAATGTTATTATAATTTAAAATGATGGCAAAGCTGAATTTGTCTTCAGTGTCACATGATACTTCAGAAATTATTATAATATGCTGATTTGGTGCTCAAGACACATTTCTTCTTCTTATTATTAGAAGAAAAGAAAAAAAGTTCATGTCACTTGGTCAATTTAATGCATCCTTGCTGAATTCATATATATATACATACATAATAGTATTGTATATGCATTGGTTGACATTTATGTAATCTAATTTTTATTTGATTCCTTCAGGCCACACATAAAAGAGATTTTTCAGAGCATTGCCGCCAAGGTGGGCACAGGAGAGCCGTGCTGCGACTGGGTGAGTATTAGTTATCAGTTGATGTGCAGGCATTTATATAAGCTGTGAATGCACTTCTTTTTTTTTATTCACTGTCTTCTGATATTCCTGTAGGTTGGAGATGAAGGAGCGGGACATTTTGTTAAAATGGTCCATAATGGCATTGAATACGGTGATATGCAGCTGATCTGTGAGGCTTATCATCTGATGAAGGATGTGCTGTGTATGGACCATGACGAAATGGCTCAGGTAATTCATCAACCTCATTTAATTACTACACTTTTTGTAATGTAGAAGAACAGTCCCTGATGTTGTAATGCTTTAATTCCCCTCTCTATTGTCATTTTTTTTATTTCCCCCTTCCTTGTTTTGCTGGTATTTTGAAATACACCTCACCCTTTTCCTTCTAAAGGGCTGTTATGGTCTACTTCCTCTTGAGATTACATATTTTTGTGTTTGGTTTACCCATCAGGCCTTCGATCAGTGGAATAAGACAGAGCTGGACTCTTTCCTCATTGAAATCACCGCCAACATCCTGAAATTTAAGGACGCAGATGGCACTCACCTGCTGCCCAAAATCAGAGACAGCGCCGGGCAGAAAGGCACCGGGAAATGGACGGCCATCTCAGCTTTGGAATACGGCACGCCTGTCACATTGATCGGTAAGATGAACTCTTGCGTAATTTACCCCAGGTATGAGTGTGTTCTGCTGTTATTTACATACAGAGGTTGAGAGTCACTTGGCCTTATAAGAACATGTTGAATGAAGCGTCTCTATAAGCAGCTTTGCTGTTCACCTCTTCAGCTCATGTGACATAAGTGGGATTTTCTGTTCTCTCCTGTGCTGTGGCTTTTGGTGTATGGCTGAATAATAAGTGTCCAGTGTGCATTGCCACTGAAAATGTTACATTCATAAATATTTCTATACATTTTCATGCCTTACAAACTTAAACATTTGGTTATTTAGCATGTGAATATATTTTGAATTTGCAAGAATGATTGGCAATAGTTTATTTTTATAGTACCACATTTCGTAGTGCAGGTTTAGATCAGTATTAATGTTTTCTATAGCACCTTAAAAAGCTAATTTAACATTTAATGAAAAAAAAAAAATATATATATATATATATATATTTATTAGGAATGCATTTTTATATCTCGGGTTATATATATATTTATATATCGCGATTAATCGCATCCATATAATTTTATATATAAATTATATTTTTTCCTTAAATATACATGTATATATGTGTATATATATATATATATATATATATACACACAAAATAATTATACACAGTGCACCCACATATATTATGTAATCACAAATTTTTATTTTGGATGTGATGTGTATATATATATATATATAAATGCATACCTAAAAAACTATCCTAAACCTTTAAAAATCCTTTTAAAAAGTTAATTGGCCTCCTTTTTACCATGGGGATTTGTGGTGGATTCATGGTTTGGAAATTGGAAACATTATGTTACTCTAAGATTGTTCAATAACAGTTGATGCATTATGTTTTTATGAAGCTGTTTTGAAAAGTAATTAACTATACAAATAAACTTGACCTGACTTGACATGTATTTTTAAGAGCAGGACATGGGCTTGTATATTTAGTGTCAGTTAAATGGATGGTTGTGCTGCCAACAGAAGGCTGTTTGTGCAGCACTGAAGCGTGAGAGAGTAGACATGATTTGTATGCTTGTAGAGAAGGATTTTCGTCTCTCACTAGGCCGCATTCCAGTGCTGAGTTCACCATGACTGGCTGTTTTCCTCCACCTACCTCTTCCCACACTTGTTGGCCTTGGGTTGGGTGATAAATAATACAAAGTCATGCTGCTTCTAGTCTCTTGTGTTTGTAGATGTGGCAAGATCTGCCTATTACTCAGTACACCATTGAGAATTGCATTACCAGTGTCAACCGTGCCAGTGCCTGGTACCAGATAACGTATGAAGCCAATTATACATTAGGACTGGTGTTTCCTGAACACATGCTGAATAATGGCTCATTATTATATTGAAAAAAAAAAATGAAAATCCAGCTTTGCCATGTCAAGATGACGATATTAAAACAAAAAGTAATTTTAAATTGTAATACTATTTCACAATATCACTGTTATACTGTTTTCTTTATCAAATAAATGCAGCTTTCGTTGACCCCAAACTTTTTAATAATTGTATTTTAGTCATAAGATTATTTTTCATTCATTTTTTTTAATTAGTTGGTTTTTGATACATTTTATCAATAGACTAGATAATTCAGTGTATGGAATATACTATGTATGTATTGCTTTCCTCATGTGGTCTCTGACATGGTCTAATGGCGATTCTAATTGAATGATGTGAGCAGAGATGCAGTGTGTCACTGGAGCTGATTGTGTGTGTGTGTCGTTCACTCACAGGGGAAGCTGTCTTTGCCAGATGTCTGTCCTCTCTGAAGGATGAGAGGGTTCAGGCCAGTAAGAGTCTCTCCGGCCCCCAGGGTGTCAAATTCACTGGAAACAAGACGCAGTTTCTGGAAGATATTAGAAAGGTGGGATAGACTTAAAATACAGATTATTCATATCCAAGTTTTATGTAATCATATTTATATTTAAATGTAAATAAGTTGATGTAATATAGCATGGTGTATATTTTTTGTTGTTAATTATAATGTGGAGTGTTGTTTTGATTTGTTTGTATTTGTTGTTGTTTCTTTTCCAGGCTTTGTACGCCTCAAAGATCATTTCGTATGCTCAAGGCTTCATGCTGCTCCGACAGGCTGCCATAGAGTTTGGCTGGTCTCTAAACTACGGTGCTATTGCCCTGATGTGGAGAGGTGGTTGCATCATCCGCAGGTGAGCAAAAAAATAAAAATAATAATTCATAATGTTATATGCTATATACAGATTGCTTATATTTAGAAAGGCAGTGTCTGCTGAAATACTCAACAATGTAATCATATAAAACTTCATGTTTTTGTCACCCGGTGAATTTTGCAACTCTGTAAATACTAGGAAGTGGTGATAATGTTTCATGTAAAAAAATCCCACATGCACAGAAATGAGGAAACTGTTTGATTTTTACAATATCCTAACTGTAGATAACGGTTATGAATCTTACATTGGCAGTGTTTTCTTGGGAAAGATCAAGGAAGCGTTTGACCGGAACTCAGAGCTGCAGAGTTTGCTGCTGGATGACTTCTTCAGTAAGGCTGTGCAGGACTGTCAGGTACAGGAAGTGACCACACATAGCTCCATTTCCTTTAAAAGTGCCACTAAAGGCATATAAAAAGTGTCCCTAAAAACTAATGTGCGAAAACTATGTCCACTGTGCCCTCCAAATATATACACCATGAACACAGTCCAAACGGATCTGACACTTTTACTCCAACTGGACTGAAAAATGATTTCATTCATTTATTTATACGGGCAAATGTGTGCTATAATAATCATATAGTATATTTATTTCAATACTGCGTGCTGTTACTACATGAAAGCCAAACACAAACCATTTGTGTGTGTGTGTGTGTGTGTTTACCAGGGCTTCAATGCAGCGTGGAATTTTATCAGTACATTTAAAGTACAGCAAACATTATTATACTAGATAGCAGATCCTGGAGTTATTTTGAAAATATGATTTTCTAAATGAATGTATTCAGTGACAATATTATTTTAAAACTTATAACAGGAGTTTCTAATGTATGCAGTCAGCTAAAGTGTAAAAGCAAATCAAACGTAATCCTGTAGTTTAGGATAGTTTTAAGAAAATGTTTGAGTTACAATATTCCAACAATTATTTGGCAACATAACATACATAGTCAGAATGTAACATGCATGTTAAATATGGTCTTTAAAAATCTACAAAGAACTTTGGAAATGTGTAGAAATCCTGAAAATGAATCTAAAGACTAGCTGGTACTACAACCATGTTGAATGTGTTTTTAGTATATAAACGTGGGCTGTGTTTTGCAGGACTCGTGGCGTAGGGTAGTAAGTACAGGTGTGCAGCAGGGGATCCCAATGCCGTGTTTCACCACCGCCCTGTCCTTCTACGACGGTTACAGGCACAACATGCTCCCAGCAAACCTGCTGCAGGTAAACCTCTCTCCAACACAAACAACCTCTCTAACTAGCCATATGGGAGATCACAGGGATAACTCATGGACATTTATGGTAATAGCCAATTTATTTCTTTTTTTGTTTTATTTTTAACACACACAAAAAAGTTTTTGTCTTGCATTAGACTCTGAATCTTTATGAGTCTGTCTTTTTTATTTGAATGCTTAAGCATTTGTTCTGAAAATCATTATTATTAGTTTATTTGATAGGGACCATGCATATTCATGAACATTGTTGTAGGATACTACATCATGTAAATATGCCAGAATGAGTAAACAAATACTACTTTTCGTCTGCAGTGCCCAGGCCGTTAACAAAAACAAATAAAATAAAATTTCGAACAGTCATACAGCATTCATTCAATATATCAACAATACACATATGCATTGATATTGCAGACAACGCATAAATAAGAATAAAAACAAGACATACATGATAACACAAACATACATTCACCACTAAACTCTCTCTCAGTATTTATCATTGGATATCACTAATTTCACCTCCAACATTGTGTCTCTATTCAGGCACAGAGAGACTACTTCGGTGCGCATACGTATGAGCTGCTATCAAACCCTGGGAAGTTCATCCACACTAACTGGACAGGCCATGGAGGGAAAGTGTCCTCCTCATCCTATAATGCCTAAAATGATGAGTCGTGTTAGGTTAAACAGCAAAGAACAACATCTCCTCTTGATGAAGGACCAGAGCAGCTGATCACATTCCTCCTGAAGAGCTGATGTCCAGCCCAAAATAGAGTTAAAATTTCTATTTATATTAAATCAGTAAATGCACTATTTGTAAGCTTTTTTCTTGTAGTTTCAATGTCCACTGTAGCAAACATTGAGTCCGAGTGTGGTTTCTGAGATTCTTCCTGCTGTAGACCAGTCTTGCTTCGCCCCCAGAGTTCACAGCGTTAACCCTCACTGCATTAGGCTAAATAAAGATTTCAATCCCTTTTTAATTAGCTTTTGTCTTCTTCACTCTCAGGCTTTCTACCGCAAACAAGATTTACTCTTGCTACTATTTTTAACTGTAAATACTAGGTTTGTAAGTTGTTTATTTGTATGTACTTTCAATTTGTCACCAGGAGAGGGCAGGGATTTATTTTTTTGCAGTAATGAGCTTATGTATGTTAGTAATGGGCTCAGCTGAGTGATTATGATAATAGCCCACATATAATATACACAACCTACAATGTTTTTACCTGCTAACAGACAGTTGAAATTAATATTTATAAATTCCACAGTGTAAAATGGTCTCACATCATATTTTATCTCATATTTCCTTGTCTACTAAATATGACAAGATAAAACGTATATGTAAATATCTTGAAAGGTCTTGACACATTCCTGATTTTAACATTAAAGCCAAGATACTTAGATGAGAGGACCTTTTGGACCTTGAACCGTTTGGTTCCCAATGAAGTCCATTATATGGAGAAAGATTCTGGAGTGTTTTCATCAAAAACTTTAATTTCTTTTCGACTGAAGAAAGAAAGACATGGACATCTTGGATGACATGGGGGTGAGTAAATTCTCAGCAAAAATCTTTTTAAAAGTGAACTACTCCTTTAATGCACTAACTGGTAGCTTTCATGTTTATCGCAGGCAGGTTGTAAAGGTTTCAAGTTATATTTCAAAAAAATGTTTTCATTTAATTTTTATTCATAATAATAACAACAACTCCTCGGTGACACACTTCTGATCTATATTACTTCATATTAAACTGGCAGAGTACACAATTACAGAAAGTCTGGTTATTGTAAAGTCTAACGTAGTACATTTTTACCATAATGCTTTCTGATTTGTAAGACATGTTTATTGTTGAAGAAAAGAAAGATTAATAAATGGGATTATAAAGGCTGTACAAATATGATTTGCTCTTGGTTAAGTCACACTGGCTTCACCTTTATTCTGAATTCATCTCCACCCTGTTTAAAAGCAGCCGTTTTTCCAATGGTCCAGCTATTTGAGAAAGCTTGTAATAAAGCTCAAAGAACTGGAAACGTGCAACATCTTAATGTATTGTTTAAAATGCTACAAGTACGGCATAACGAATACATCGCAGGCAAATGGTGCTGACTCATCATGGTGAATGAGGTGATTCAGCACAAGGAGAGCCAGGACAGGAAGTGAAAACCCTCTTTTGACCTGTCTGCTGATTAATTATGCATCAGCAGCAACGGGGAGGAGTCAGATTACGCATCGAGTCCGACACAAACAGATGCTGAAAAGAGATGCTGCAGTTTGAACTGACAAATACCAAAGATCAACAATTCCTTTTAGAGCTGATGTATGTATATAATCAAGCATGATTCATCTTTATGCATGATTACGGTTGTTTTAAGGTGACGTCAGGGTGCCTTTTAGAGCATGTGGGGATTGTATTTGTTGATGTATATCAGACAGGAATTATAAAATAAATTACTGAACATTTGATAAGGATATTTTTACGATTTACCCTTTAAAATGAAAGTAAAATAGTCCAATTATTAGTTTACTTAAACATGCTAACTTGCCATCTTAATTAACAATAATTTAGACTAAATTAGGTTATTTCCTAATGGCTTTCCTATCCTACTGTACCAGTATCTTTTTTTAGGGTACCTTTGTAAAACATGACAATGGGAGCTGGCTGGGACAATCGTGGAGCTATCGAGAGAAGCATGTTCATTATGCGGATGCTGCTGAGCCTGTTTCCTCTGGTCCTTGTGGTCTGGAATGGTGAGGCGTTACCTGTACCAAACAAATTATCACAAACCAATGAGGTGAGTCTCTAATTTTTAGCAAGACACTACTGGCAGAACTATTGTTGCATTTGTAGATTTCAATTTCAATGCATATTTTTTAAATGCCATTCTTTTCTCAAGCAACCTACACCAAACTTTCCATGCTTATTTTTATATCTTGAGGGTTTTTTTTTACAGAGGTTTTTTCATATTGCATTCACCTGAATTTAAAACATTTAGATTTTTTTTTTCTGACTGCTGACATTATTTTCTGATTCATTGAGTGATAAAAGAGATATCTGAAATCCTCTCTTTAAAAACATTTAACTCTAATTATGTCAACAAAATGAAAGAAGAATTCTGATCCTATTATCCAATGATAGTTTCGGCTAATGAAAACCCATGCATATTTAATTAGATAATGCCTCATTTGCGTATTTAAACAACATTTCAGTTACAATTTTACCGTATACACCTGTGGTGATTTTGGGGTGTAAATCAAATCCATGTGGTCATATTTGTTAGTATTAGTATTTCCTAAGATCTACATCATAAGCTAAACATAACTGCACTGCAGTGTTTTAATACTGTTAATGCAGTAAAAGTCAATAGCAGTGGTCCAATACTCAAGCCCTCAGAAATGTATCTTGTTTTCTAGATACTTACCAAAGACCAAAAGGACTTGTTGAAGATGATGATGACAGATATGGCAGAGCTGAACCTCACTAGTAAAGAACTAGCTGATCTTGACCCTGATATTCTGAATGGCACTCTGGGAGAGAATTCTGTTGTTGAACAGCCAATCCCTAAAAATAAATCTCCATGCAAGCTCTTCTACTGGAAGACCTTCTCCTCATGTTAAAACTGGAAACCAGAACAGACACTGATGATACGTCTGTTGAAATCTACAGTCCTGCCTTTACAGTTTGCCAATATAACCATACATTGTATTTAAATCAATATGTATCCCTTGGCTTGCTGTTCTTGTATTGTATTTTATGCCTAAAGACATTTACAGTGTGAAACAGCTTGTTTGAATTAACAGCAATATTCAAAGATACAGTAGTCTTTTGCATGTACACTTTATACTGTTTGTCATCCAAGTCCAAAGAAACGTGCTAATAAAAGTTCAACAAATCTCTTCATGTCAATCCCAATTTTAAAACACCTTTAAAATTATGACTAGCATTAGTCTGGGTTTCCTCAAACTGCCTACAGATTTTCGCCTCATTTAGGGAACCAATCACAGAACGGGGAGGGAGCAGCAAGACGATGACGACATCTATGCAAGTTGCAACACACCACAGTTTGTTTATACGGATTCAACATGGCAGCAGACGCGAAGCTACCTTTTGATGCAGCCTTAGATATTGTTTAAGTAGTTTAGAATACAAGTTTGTTTAGAAAAAAAGAGCCGCTTTTGGCGTTAAACTTCGCGAGACCCCGGTCGTTATTGTTGTCTCTCAACCTTGGAATATCTGCCGCTTAGCTGTGTACCGAGAAAGAAAATGCAATTGTCGATACCTAGCCTACTTCTGTTCGGCAGTCCCGAGGCCTGGATGAGCGCAAAGTGGCAAGACATGTTAGCCACGGAGTTGTATAGTACCAACCTTCTAGGCATCGTCGTCGACGAAGTCCATATAACTTATAAATGGTAAGTGGTATTTATTAATATCATATTGTGCCACTAAGTTGTGTTGCTTTTCAATATCAATATACAGCTACCGCTTTAGTAGCATAACTTTCAGCTGTGCACACGTGCCCGATTAAAGTTGTTGACACTTTAGTCATTAAATTATTTTTTTTTTAACTTGTGAAGTACAAGCGCAAACAATTTCCAATGCAAATAACAACTTCAACATCCCTCTGGGCTTCATCGTAAATGTGTTACACTAGCTTCCTCCCGGTCAAAAACGGACGAAGCCTTTTACTTTTCCCCAGGATAACCGTTCAAATATATTTTTGTTCAATAATATTTTCTGATTATTATTTAGAATTTTCAGAGTTTTTTGATATTTTGCATTAATTATATAATTTTTAAGAGCTATTTTTCCATTAGAATTAATATATATATTTTTTTCAATAAATGCATTTTTTTTTATAAAGCTGGCACTCTATTTTGATGTGAATTCACATCAAAATATAGTGCCAGCTTTATAAAAAAAAAAAATGTTCTAGCAGAAGAGCGCCACCTTGTGGCTTTAAAAATAGTTACATGTGTGCAATGTCCTGTACAGCCTTTTGATTCCTGTTGTTATTTTAGACATGATTTCTCTATCTTATTCGTTTTTTTTTATTTAGATATATTTAGATATTCTAAAAGACAACTCATTTATTTTTTTAAACAATTTTTTAGATAAGTATCAGGTTTTGCATTATGATTACAATCAAACTATAGCATTTGGTTGAAAGGGAACAGAACGCAAACATTTTTACTCAGTATTTGATCATTCAAATAATTAAAGAATTAGTGATAATTCAAAACACTTTACAGACATTTTGCAATAAATTGGTATTTTTTTATTAATTTTTTATTCAATAAGTAATAAAAACTTCATAAGGGAACAGCAATTATGATCGAACAGAAATAAACAGAAAATAATACTTTTCTCTCTCTGTGTGTGTGTGCACACGCATTTGAGCGAGAGTCTCTTTTGTATTTTTATTTTTTTTATTTTTGCATATTCTCAAAATTTGCTGTTGCAGTCTTACCAGTGAATCGCTCTCTCTCTCTCTCTCTCTCTCTCTCTCTCTCTCTCTCTCTCTCTCTGTGTGTGTGCATTTGAGCAAGATTTTTTTTCATTTGTTGATTTTATTTTGCATATTCTCAAAATTTGCTGTTGCAGTCTTACCAGTGAATCTCTCTCTCTCTCTCTCTCTCTCTCTCTCTCTCTCTGTTTCTCTCTGTGTGTGAGCATTTGAGCAAGATTTTTTTTTATGTGTTGATTTTATTTTGCATATTCTCAAAATTTACTGTTAGTCTTACCAGTGAATCTCTCTCTCTGTGTGTTTGTGCATTTGAGCAAGATTTTTTTTTATTTGTTGATTTTATTTTGCATATTCTCAAAATTTGCTGTTAGTCTTACCAGTGAATCTTTCTCTCTCTGTGTATGTGTGTGTGCATTTAAGCAAGATTTTTTTTCATTTGTTGATTTTATTTTGCATATTCTACAAGTTTGCAGTTGCAGTCTTACCAGTCAATCTCTCTCTCTCTCTCTCTCTCTCTCTCTCTATACGCAACATGACATCATGACTTTTGCGTAAACATACACGCCACTTTCGAGTCAGGTGGCGTGTTATCTCCACGCATTTTGTGCTATCCGCGTGTATGCGTATATGTCTACGCCATTAACGTCCGCGTCATTCCGCGTGTCTGTATTTTTTTACAGTCTATGGTCTGAACACGCAGTCAAATCTCCAGTCATAAATGCCATTAACCCCAGTGACGGTTAAGTTTAGGTATGGGGTTGAGGTAAGTCATATCTTTTTTTTTTTTTTTACCTAGGATAGTAAGGGAACAGTCATAAATGCCATTAACCCCAGTGACGGTTAGGTTTAGGGACGGGGTTGAGGTAAGTCATATGTTTATATAACGTTAAGTCAACGGCGTTCATAAACACGCTGAAAGGCGATTATGCGTCTTGATAGCACGCCAAAAATGGAAATACGAATTGGCGTGTCATACACACGCTACTTCATGAGATCAGTCTGCTATGCGTGTGTGTGTGTGTGCATTTGAGTAAGATTTTTTTTTTCATTTGTTGATTTTTATTTTGCATATTTCTTACACTTTTTTTCTGCACAGTTGCTGACCTGTAGCTTGTACTACCAAAAGTTTCTCTGAGTTTTCCTGTTTTTTCGTATTTCCCATTCATTTCCTATGTCGGTCATTTTTGACCGGGAGGAAGCTAAGTGCTAATTTTTTTTTTACGACCCTTTAACAAATCAGAATCATCTCCTTGATTTTTTTTTTTTTTTGTGGTAATACAACAGAAGTCACCAAGTTTCAGCCCCATCCGATGAAGCAAAAAAAAATTAAACATTTCAAAACGTAACAGTTTTCGGTCATTTTTGACCGAAGAAGCCCAGAGGGTTAAGATTTGTGTTCTTCTAATTGACCTTATGCGCAGCTGCTCTACTTCCTGAACTTAAGCCAGCTCCTTGTTTCCTGTCTGCCATTATTGGTCAAATTGATTAATTCAGGTGTGCCTGACCTCAGTAGTCGCGGCAACAATAATCAGACACACCAGAATTAATCAAGTTTGGCCCGATAATAGCAGACAGGAAACAAGGAGCTGGCTTAAGTTCAGGAAGTAGTGCAGCGGTGCATAAAGCCCATTGAAACGATTGGCTATGAGCTACGTGCAGGTGCATTTGATAGACATTCTTAGCAGCCAATAAACGGCGCCGGGCATTCGTAAACCACGCCTCAAATACGAAAAATGAACATGTGGTTCCCAGACCCAAGTCTCAACGTTGTTATACTACGCCATTAGCTTAGCTTACGAAAATCAAGTGTAGTTTTGGCGCCACCTAATGTAAAGTGGAGAAAACTTATTTTAAGTAGAACATCATCTGACAGGTATGTAGTATTTTTATAAATATAGATCAAAAGCAAACTATAATATTAGACCGGACAGGTTAAATCGACAGCGTTAACACTCGGGTATTCAAAAATATAGTTGCCTCAGATTAAAAATAGAAAGAAGATACTTGCAAAAATAGTAAACAAGGCCCAAAACAGGACTCACCTGTAGGCTGCATGACTATCATCATCCACCTAGGACAGTAGTCCCATCAAAAATGGCTTGTTTTCAACTTTATAAATTAGTTAACTGATGATTTTAAGTCATTTAAGAATTTGTTTTTACATTCTAGCTTTAAAAACATGGTGGTCAAACTAATTAGGACATTTTCTTAAGTGTATATAAACCATTAATTAAAATTTAGTAAGCAAATGTATTGTTTTTTATATATTGAGTAGTTGTTCACTTTGAGGAGAAACTACCTGCAGTTGTTCTCACTGATATATACACAAACAGCAAAACTACTTAAAATTATGTTTGCAATGTACCAAAACAGTAAATTAAATTCAAGGACTAGCTTTACACTTCAAAACTTAAATGTAATGTTTACAATTACACAACTTTTCAGGTAAAAAAAAAAAAAAAAAAACAGATACAATTCATCTGTGTACGTTTATTATGTATTTTGAAAAAATGGAAATCCTGCCAGTGATTCAAGTCATTGATAACACAAACCTCATTCACAAAATCCTATGTTCAACCACAACAGGTCACTGCCTAATATGGAAAAAAAGGCCTTTTCAACTAAGTACACTATATTTACAGTGGGACAGATCACGTGAAAGCAATCAAACAGAAGGACTCAGTATCAATGACGTCTTGCGTACAAGCGCTGGAAATACACAAGCATGGATGTCAAGTCATTTGTGATGGGACTGATCCTTGAACTCATTGGTTTAACTCTGCTTTTAGTTTGCCTTGTATTGTCTTTAGTCATGCACTCCAGCCAATTGGGAATTGTCCATTGAAATTTCAATAAGGATTCCAGGGAAAAATGGTTACAGTGAAGTGACGTAGTCCCTTTTCAGGTTAAAGGCATACAGCAGCAGTCTCCACAGATGGACTGTGTGAACTTCAGTCTTCAGGTCTCCCATTATAGACTTCACTCAGGGTTCTGAGGTAAACCTGGGCCCGCCGAGTCCAACGTTCCTATACATGCGAATTAAATAAGCGTTTGCAATTCGATTAATGTCTTCAAACAAATAAGCCACTATCAAAATAACTAGTCAAATTATTCTTTTTTTTTTATTCGAGTTCCCTTAGAGTCACAAAACATATAAAAAGCATTCAAAACACATAACAAAAGAAACCTTTTGAAGCATTCTTCGCTTTCATCATCAATACATCACCCCAGTTAAGCCACTCAGAGCTCACGCTCACCCTCATTCGCCACCCACTCCCAGAGCCCCGCCCACAGACAGCATCACATCACGCTCACACATGAGTTCAGTAACAGCGAGATAGAACACACACCATACACAGCATTCACATCAAATTAAGCAAGAACACAAATACTTAGTAGATCACTTAAACATTCCACTACATATATCTTTTTTTTGTTTTTTTAAATGCAGCTCTTTAAATATGATTGCAATATAAGAAAGGGAGGAAGGTAGACAGAACAAGAGGGACGGAAGAATGTAAATGAATGTCCTTCTGATGGTCCTACAGAAAAAAAAAAACACTCGCTGCCTCTGTTCACACTCGCTCACACAGGTTCTTCTCACAGCCATCACGTCGCTTTTCGGCATCGCACACTTGCGTTCAAGTTCTCTCTCTCTCTCAGTGCGTTCGCTCATTCAGTCTCTCACTCGTGGCGCACCAACAATCCATCACCATTTCACTCTCAGCTCTCAAAAAAGCGGACAGATTTCATCCATGAAAAGGGGGAAAAAAAGACAACACCCACCGTCTAACACAGTATATGCAGAGTGAAGCTGTGCTCTTTGATGGCAAAGCATTTACACATGGGAAGAAGGGAACTGATACTGAGATCTCTCGAACATTGCGGCCAACGAGGGGCTTCTTCCCGGGAAATTGGAAAAGAGGTGATGAACTGTAGAAGAGATTTATGAAGGCTTGACCATAAAAAACGTTGAGGGGAAGAAAAAAAAAAAACTGCAGAGAACAACTCAAATTGCTTTCCACATGGAGCATCTTTAAATGTACTGGATGCTCAGATATGTGGGCTTACTGAAAATAAAATACATTTTATCCATAAGGGACATTTTTTTTATAGTGTTCATTTCACTCCTAACAATTCCAACCACTAAATGAATCTTAAAGAGCAATCATCATCATCATATGTATACGAAGAACATTCAAAGTTTTACTAAATCAAAGGCAAATATGTAAGGGACATAATATCTGACTAAACTTTCTTCTCTCAAAATACTTACCATACAACCTAGATATTAGGATACTTCATAACCCAATTCAAATCCCTCTACATTCCCCAGCTGGACTTTGTCTCCATGCTAGATCCAAAGCCGGAGTTGAACCCACTGCCCGTGCCCGTGTTAGTGCCCGCCCCCCACCCGAGACTAGCTGCGCTGCCGGTGTTGTAGTTATTGCTGCTTGGGTTGTAACTCTGGTTCTGATCTCTACTAGCACTGTTCTGCCCGCTAGGAGCGGCGCCGGAGGGGGCTGTCTGATTCTGCTGATTGGCCAGCATTCCCATCATGCCCCAGCTACTCTGCAGGGCTGCCTGAGCTGCTGCCATCATGGCTGGATTCAAGCTAAGGGCCCCAAAATTCACATTGCTGTTTGGACTGCGACTACTGCCAAAGCCCTGCCCCCCAAACCCCCCGAATCGCCCACGATCCATCATTTGCCTACTATTATTGTGCTTAGGCTCAGCGTTGGAGATGTGCACACTGGTTCCTTTGATGATCAGGTCCTCACCACACAGAGACTGGGCAACCTGGAGGGAGAGGGGATCGGTTAAAACGAGCAGAGAACGTGAGCAAACCAAATCACGAGACTGAAACGGACCTGATCATCTGCAAAAGTGACGAAGGCAAAAGCTCGGAAAGGTTTGGGGATGAACACGTCTGTGACTTCGCCATACTGCATAAAAAACTGTCTAAGCTCATCGGTCGTCATGTCCTCTGTGCAGCGGCCCACAAACACTTTCCTGCTTCTCATAGGCTCATCAGGGCCAGCCTGTTCCAGGAAATACTAAATCATTTTGATAGAAAACAGGGACCATTCATGCAGTGTTCAGAACGACAAGGGCATCACAATACATTTGAAAGATGAAGTGTGTATTTTCAAATTTAATTCTAAAACAGCTTAATACTTCTAAACACAAATCTCTTGAACTATGTGTGGTATTATGTGACTTAAGTGTTGTAAACATACCTTTGAGTTGGGAAGTTTGCAGTCGCACCATCTTCCATCGATCATATGCCGTTGGGACATGGCTTTTACTTGTGTTTCGTATTCTGTAAATCTCACAAAGCCAAATCCTTTGGAATTTCCAGTTTTTGTATCTCTCTTCACCTGAGGGAAACGGTAATGCTCAGTGTCACAGCTAACAATACAGAATGCATGATACATGACTTTATTTGTGTAAGAGTGAACTCAATTCTGTCATTAATTACTTACTCATGTCTTTCAAAACCTGTTTGACTCTTCCTCTCATGGAACTCCAAGGAGTTAATTAACTCCAAGGAGTTAATTAATATCAAATTTTGAGCAGCTGTCATTAATTACTTTCCTCTCATGGAACTCCAAGGAGTTAATTAATATCAAATTTTGAGCAGCTTTTTCCACACAATGAAAGTGAATGGTTACTATTAACCCTATGGTATTCCTCACTTGATCCTCGGCAGTTAAAATGGACCATACTGGCAATATTGTGCACAAATAGTGTTGCCTTTTTTAATTGTGTTTTTGTAAAACAGCCTAAAAACTTGGCAGTCACAGACGAAAACCCATCATAAAGGTTTGGGACGACATGATGGTGAGTACATTTAAGTTTTTTGTTTGTTTAGGGTGAACTATCCTTTTAGGTTTGTTCATACTAACCTGCACCATGATCACCTCTCCAAAAGTGCCAAAGTAATCTTTCAGGTCTTGCTCTGTTGTTTTCCACGGCAAACCAAGCACAATCAAATCTGATGTTTTCTGCACACCTCTCTTGATCTTAACAGCCGATGCAGCATCCATTTCATCCATCTTCCTCTTGTTATCTGAAAAGTGCGTTCGTTTGCACATCAAAATGCTTTAAGACAGGGATTTGCAATGGATGACATACTCCATATTTTCTGTGGATCAACAATTCCCAAATTATAGGATGTCCTTGCAATCAAATAAGCACAATATTAACAAGATCTGATCATACCTTTGGGATAATTAACCACGTACACCAGATTGCCCCAGTCTGCTTCGGGTGCATGAAGAACCCCCTCCACTAGTCGGACCCCTCTCATGCACTGAGACACGGGGCTACGGTATCGAAGGCCGCAAGCACCGGGAAACTGCGCGGCAACAGTTGAGAGCAGCACGGTGCCGTCCTCCTCGGATGGGATCTCCATCGGCTCCTCGTTCTCATCCTCCGCGACGCGAATATAACACTCAGTCATGATTACACCGAGAGCTAAGCTACGAGCTTCCGACCAGATCAAAATTTCAGCTATAAGGCTACTAAGTTAACCGAGCTGAATCCGAACTAGTAAACCGGAAAGAATTCGAAAGTAAACACAACCAAAAATTTGTTGACAACAAGTGTTATGTCTATTGTTTGTGTGGGACTGTAGTCAATGAATACGGGGCGCCATTAGCTAAGCTATTTGCTAACCGCGCGCACGTTAGAAATGAATGGCGCGCCGCACCCTGTTTCCACCAACTTCAGCGCTTTGCAAATACCTTCTCATCGACTGTACGTGCTTATCTGCAGATTGCGATCAAAACAAGCGATTTAAAGTAATACAAATAAAAAACGAGTGGACAAATGCATCCAGTTGCTGTTCCGACCCCCAAAACTGATAAAATGGCCACCCAAGATGCGTCACTGAAGGAATGGCGTCATCAGTTTGGGCCGTCTCATCATCACAGCACATGTAGGGGTTTGGAATTCTAAGATGTTAACTTTTTTAACGCATTACATAATTTGTGTTGTGCTGTGACAGACGGTGTGATTCTGTCTTGTCTGTTTATGATTATGATAGGCCGGTGTGGTTGTAATTTCCATTTAAAACAACAGAAATAATGTAAAAAAATGCAAGAATCCACTGTAACGTTGAAAGCGTCTCATATCTTATCTTACAGGTTCGTTACATCAGACATAGAACAGACAAAAGCACTGTAAAACAATAGATTTAAAGACAAAGGTCTGTAATATTGTGCAACCAAGGTGTTTAGGGACATGTATATGTATGTTGTATTTATAATGTTTTATTTTGAGGGTTTTCACGACGCGTCATAAGTCGGCCATTTTGGAGGCACAGAACATAAACAATGCCATTGAACTGAACGGACTCGCAAATTTGGCTGATTATTTCTGCTGAAAAATGGTCGAGTTTTGGTCTATACTTATCGGTCGCATCGGGAAAATACCTTTCGAGTTCTATAGACCATTTCACAAGATGTAAACATCACTGGTCCAGAAGCACTTCCTGTTTCAGTTTGTAACTGTTTTCTTTATTTTTACATGTAAAGAAAACATCTTAAAGATGTTTGTTTAACTTTTTGATTCAGTTTTAAATGTTTTGTTGGTTGTATTTTATCCCAGCTTTTATGTAACGTTAGTGTTAAAAAACTGAAACAGGAAGTGCTTCTGGACCAGTGTTGTTTACATCTTGTGAAATGGTCTAGACGGCGAGAAGGAGAGCAGAGAAGAGAAGAGAAGAGAAGGGGGGGAGGGGGAGGGGGGAATTGTGATTGTAAATCAATTTCCAGGCTAACAGAGCTTGTTCATGAAATTTCGCCAATTTAATAGGTAATTTCCCAGTGGAGTAATTACATTTCATTAAAAAAAGAAAGGCCACCTACCCTCTTAAAAATGTTATTTGGAATAAAATACCATATAGACTCTGACCCAAGCAAGCATCTTTTCAGCCAATTAATTTTGAATGTATTGTTAGTGTCATCAAAGTTCAAGACTTCAAGTTCTATTATTGGCAACATTCAATGGAGGAAAACATGGTTACTACCATTTAAATATTGCATACCCAATAAAATGCGAGAAGTGCATTTTAAAATTCTGCATATTATATACCCTTGTAACGCACTGTTATCCAAATACTGTGATCTACCTGATGTATGCACCTTCTGTAATACTGAAATTGAAGACATCTGTCATTTGTTTTTTTTATTGTAACGTTTCATCAAGTTTTTGGAATGACTTGGGATCTTATTGTTTTTCTAAAGTTAATACGAATGGTAGTCTTTGCATCAAGGATATCATCTGTTTTTTTTTTGAATGTCCAAACAAGTCCTTAGAATCTACTGTTAACTTCTTGATAATTGTGGCAAAATTTTACTTTCACAAGCAAAGATTTCTCATGAAAATTCCTATTTTTAATGAGTTTTTATGTGAAGTAAATTATTTAATCAAATCTCTTAGGAAAATTGATAATAGAAAATGTTTTTCTTTTCTGAAGAAATATGATGAGATCTTTCATGTACCAAGATGATTAGTAGCCTATCTGTTAATTTTTTAATTTTATTTTTTTTGTTTGTTTTGTTTGTTTCTTTTTTTCACTCTTCTTTCTTTCTTTATTCTGTTTATGCAAGAATGATTCTACTTGATCAATATATACATTGTTGAAATGATCCAGATGTTTAAGAGGTGCATGTTTGCACTATTGTAAAGCAATTTTTGAAAAAAAAAAAAACCTCTTGGCATCAGCCACATGTGTAAAATGAAGCTTTTTTTGACTATGGCTAAAATGTATTAACTATGGCTACATTCTGTCAGTCAAAATCCGATTATTTTTGTATTCGATTGGAATCTGATCTAAAATGATGTCCACACTGTTTATCGCAACTGTTCAGATCTGATTTGTGAGTCCATGCCAAAGTTCTTTCAGGCTTTTTCTGTGTTTTTTTTTTTGGGTGTAAAAATGTGTTCAGTCGTACATAAACAGTGCAATCCATGCTGTTGTTTACATCCATAGACAGTATAAGAAGTTTACATCCGAGTGCCTCCATAATGGCCGCTCATCTGGGTTACCGCCCAGAATATGACGTCGGTGAAAACCCTCTATTGTAAAATTATCACATAGTGGACATGGTTCCTGTGCTCCTTTTAATTGAGGGATCTGTGATGGGTTGGTCAACCTTCTCATGGGTGTCTTTATGAGCTACAATTGTTTTTATTGTTCTGTAATGGGTAAGAATGACAGGATCGTATTTATGCTATACTGCCAACAATGATATAATCAATACATTTCAGTGTACAAACATGCAATTTTATAGCAAAATCTCAATTAGGCCATTCAGTGATCACTATGCCCCAGTCTTGCAAAGTTTTTGATAACAACTGTTAACTTATGAAGTGGCCAAAACATTTTATGTGGAAAATATAAAGCCTCTTTCATTCACCTCAAAAAGTGAATGAAAGGAAGGAAGAATGATTTTTATTGCTGTGCAGGTGCAGGTTTCCCTCCTTCCATTGCTTCTCTCACTCTGCATGTTGTATAATTTTATGATGAAACGGGTCAGCCTTCCTTGCTCACACACACATGTAACCTAAAAAGTCAAACACAGCTGACTTGTATAGCAGTATAAAAATACTCTGTCATCATGTCATCATGAGGATCAACACACAATGAACCATGTCGCTGACGCTCACAAGGGTTTTACTTATTACAGTGTAAGTAAATGTATGCTTATGCTTGAAGTCTTTTCTCTTGTAATATTACTAAAATTGTTTTCATTGCTTTTTACTTCACAGTCACTTAATTTTGCCCATATGGGGAAATATTTTGCGACCTCAGAAGAGTGACTGGGTAGGCAGTCCATCTGCAAGCATGACAGGTAATTATTTGTAGTTTGTATGCACTGAAGTAAAATAGTTCAGTAGAAATGACTGATTTTCATTTTCCTAGAGGGTCATGTGGAATGTTTTTCTGAGTACATGGAACTTTGGATCCATAGAATGAGAATTGAGGGGTTGAGGCTTTGGCTCTCTGGAATGTTAAGGATTCAAGGTGAGATGTGATATACATGGACATTGAATTACTGAATTTAAAGGGATAGTTCACCCAAAAATGAAATTTATTTCTTCTGTTGAACACAAAAGAAGATATTTGGTAACCGAACAGTTGACGACACAAATTGACTTCCACTAAAAAATACTATGTAAGGCAATGTGTGCTGTAAATTATGACAGAATTCAAATTTTGGTTGAACTATCCCTTTTACATAAGAGAAGAAATTAAACCGATCATTAATGAACCATTATTCACCTGTAATATAAATGTTTCTGGGGAAAACATTATGGTTGCCACATAAAATTTTTATATATTTATTTATATAATAATATATAATTATTTTGTAATTTATACTTGACAGGACACTCAAATATATTCAATGAAATGTGGATTTCTCACTTGGGGTTGAAGTTTATCTAATATAATAATATAAAATATATTAAAGTAATAATATTATATAAAAACAAACTTGTATGTTAACTAACACTTTAGAAATATATTTTCTAAAATATTGGAAGGAAATATAAAATAAAAGAGGAATATAAAATAAATATATGTATTTCAAAATCTGTTCTGTGTACTAGTTTTATAAATCTCTTGCTCTTTCCAGTGGGTCTGGTGTCCATGGAACATCTAAACCATCAGCTGTCTTCATGTGGTTTTGCCCTACACCGAGATCTTGACAAGAACTATATCTTCAGAGTCATGTACAGTGGATGTTTTGTCCAGTTAGAGGTCCGAAAATGTCCCTGTTCGTCACTAAAACATATTGTTGTAGCAAAAAATCTGTCCCTTATTTATCACTGCATCACAGAATTTTGGTGGTGATTTTTTTTTTCAGCATGGCAGTTATGTGATTGTGCTGAACCTGCTGAAGAGAGTAAGTCGTTTCGGAGGAAGGACTCAAAAGTTTATGATGAAGTGTCCAGCAGTGTTAGAACCTCCTAACAGAGAGTACATCCAGTGTGATTCAGACTTCATTCAGGTAAGAATATGTGATTTCCTCTCGTTCTCTCTCTCTTTTCAAGTTTTAAAAGCTCTTTTTTTGTGTGTTCAAGGTTACCAGAGAGATCCCTGTGGATAACTGGACTAATGAGGTAATTTATAATGAATGTTGATATGTGGTTATTGGATCTCAGATGTTAAATGTATCCAAAGTTCGTTGGAGTTGTAGAAACTTGATGGTGTGTCTGATTAAAACACATGGAAAAAATACCAGTCCTTTGCTCTCTTTTATTTTCAGTTCAGGATGATAAAGTCTTAATTCACATGGAGCTGACACACATGATGCCAATGAACAGATGTTAATGGAGGGACAGGATAAACAGGACGTACAAGATGGTCTTTAGTCACTACAAACAATACAATAAAGGAAATTAAACTCATATAATTCATCAGTAACATATCAACAACATATATTTTAAACAATTGACAAAACAAACTTACTCAACGCATCCTAAGGAAAGGACATGGTTGGGTGTCCATTCCAACCACCACACCTCACCAATACAAAAGGAAAAAAGGGAGGAAGTGAGGTCTACTTATAGACCTTGCCCAGGGGGTGTATGGGTAATGTAGTGAAACTGACAAAAGGATTGTGGGATATGAAGTGCAAATATGTAAGGAGAAAGAAAAAAAATAAATAAAAAGTATAATTAAAGGATCAAATTCACAACAGCCGCCCCCAAATACAGTCATGTATTTGCTATTACTCATCTATTTCAGGTAATGGAATCAACTTAGCAACTGGACGTACATACGTCTTTCCATTAATATCAATCTCAGCTACTCTGACACGTCCATCCTGACTAGGTAAGAGGCGTACTACCCTGCCAATGGGCCATGATGCTCTTGGGAGTTGAAAATCAATTACTAACACGACAGCAGAGTCATTTAGATTAGGTTTTTCTCGATTCCATTTTTGACGGAGCTGCTGACCTGGTAAGTAATGTCGGATAAAAGATGTCCAAAACTGGTCAACGAGGGCCTGGCTGTGGCGCCAAGATCTGCGGCCAAGGAGCTTAGTATTGGCATAAATCACCTGAGGTAAAGACGAATCTCGCCGCCCCATGAGGAGGAGATTTGGAGTAATGGGGTCGAGGTCTGAAATGTTTGAAGAGGCGTAACCAAGTGGCTTTGAATTTAACACTCCTTCAACTTCTGTCAAAACGGTCCGTAGGACTTCCTCTGATACGGTTTGACTGCCGAGTACCACCCGCAATGCTGTTTTAACAGAACGGACCTCTCTTTCCCATGATCCCCCAAAATGAGGAGCTTGTGGTGGATTAAACTTAAATTTGATCTGCTGCTTTTCCAATTTGTCTTGTAGCTCAGTGGGAAGGTTCTGGAAGGCTTCCTTTAACTCTCTTGCAGCTCCACGGAAATTGCTTCCCTGATCACAAAGAATCTCATACGGCCTACCTCTCCTGGATATGAAACGACGTAGGCCCATTAGAAAGCTGTCCACATCTAAACTGCTCAACAAATCAAGGTGCAGGCATCGAGTGGTCTGACACTTAAACAGAATGCCCCATCTCTTCTCTGTTCTACGGCCAATATTTACATGGAAGGGACCAAAACAGTCCATTCCGGTGGACCAAAAGGGAGGTTTGAACAACCGGAGCTTGGAGAGTGGAAGATCTGACATTTGAGGAATAGATGGCTTGGCTCTCCACTTCCTACATTGAAAACAAGACCACTGATGTTTTTTTACGGCTTGTCTCCCTCTAATTATCCAGTAATTGCGTCGAAGTTCTGAGAAAACTCTCTCTGGACCAGGATGGAAAAGTTTCTCGTCACAGTCCTTAATAATTAACTGGGTCAATGGATGTTTGGGGTCGAGGACGATTGGATGAACCATTCCAGGTTCCATATCCTCTACACGCCTGAGCTTACCGCCCACTACAATAAGTCCCGTTTCTTCATTGAATTCGGGAGAAAGTGTTAGGAGACAACTTTGAGGTTCAATGGGCTTTCCTTTCGTTAAACACTGATACTCGGAGGGAAAACTTTGTTGCTGGGCTTGTCTCAAAAGGAGATTTTGGACAGAAGAGGCGTCACAAGAGTCCTCACTATGTTGTCGCAGTAACACATTTGTTGCAAACTGTAACTCTGACCATGATTTAAAACGGGCAGGATCTGGGAGTACAATATCATCCAATTGTGTTAACCCACAAAAGAGTGGTTTACGAAGCTCAGGATCAGGACTATCAGATGTAGATACTAGATTTTTGGGCCATTCATCTGGAGGAAATTTCAGAAACGTTGGACCTTGTCGCCATCTATGATCAGGTTTGGCTAGCTCTACAAGAGTTTTGCCTCTCGTAATGTCATCTGCTGGATTCTGTGCAGATGGAATATATCTCCAAGAAGAGGGGTCAGTGAGCTCTAATATTTCAGTGACTCTATTAGCTACAAAAACTTTGTAACGGCAGGAGAGGGAATGCAGCCAAGACAAGACAGTTGTCGAGTCGGACCATAAGACAATATTTGTCAAAGGATGAGTCAATTCATTCTGCAGGAGTTTACAAAGCTGTGCACCTGTTGGAGCAGCGCAAAGTTCAAGACGAGGGATGGATATTTGCTTTTTTGGGGCAACTCGAGATCTTGCCATGATGAAGGAAGTATGTACCACACCCTTGTCAGTTCCCATTCGCAAATAGGCTACAGACCCGTATGCGCTCTCTGAGGCGTCGCAAAATATATGCAACTCTCTGGATGTGATTTGGTCGGAAGGTAAACTTAGATAACAACGTGGAAGCTGTATTAATGACAGGTCAGGGAGCTCAGTTTCCCAAGCCTTCCAGGCCTGTTGAATAGGATTTGGCATAAGGGGATCATCCCAGCCCCGGGACTTCATCCAGCATTGTTGTATGATGACTTTAGCTCGCGTTGTAAAGGGGGTTATGTAACCCAATGGGTCATACTGACTGGTGAGAACTTTATATATATTACGCAGGGTTGTTGTCTTATACTCCACTGTTCGGGATCGATACCCTAATGAATCAGAGGGACAGTGCCAACTCAGACCCAGAGCTCCTTCTTTGGGATCTAAACTGTCTTGATTGATCCACAGTTCAGCATTCTCAGACCTGGCTTCAGGAGGGAGATGTCGGACAACACCAGGCTGGTTACTTGCCCACTGTCTAATTTCAAATCCTCCACTCATCAGTAAAGAACGCATTCGGTCTAAGAAGTTCTTAGCAGATAGCACATTTGGGAAACTCTCTAAGAAGTTGTCAACATAGAATGACTGAAGTACAGAGCTCGCTATATCTTCATACCCTTCTTGGTGATCATGGACATGCCTTTGTAGAGCATATGTTGCGCAACATGGACTACATACCGTGCCAAAGGGCAAAACTTGCCATTCGTAGATGTCAGGTGGATTTGTGCTCTGCATATTGCGCCACAGGAAGCGTAGGAGAGAACGGTCTTCTGGTAATAGCCTAACTTGATGGAACATGGATTTTATATCCCCACTAATGGCCACTGGGCACTGACGAAACCGGAGTAGGACACCAAGTAAGGAAGGGCCCAACTGTGGACCAGGAAGAAGTTGACTGTTAAGTGACACACCTTTATATTGATAGGAACAATTGAAGACTATTCTCCTTTTTCCGTTATGCTCCACAATATGATGAGGAATATACCACGATTCATCAGATGAAACATGGGGAAGTTCCACTTTGGAAACATAACCGGATTCCTCCAACTTAGCAATCTCTTGGTTGTACACAGCAGCAGTTTTAGGATTTCTCTGGAGGCGTCGTTCGATACATCTGAGAGAAGACATAACTGCATTTGGTGTGGTCCGCAGCTTTATGGCGGAAGAAGTGCGCAATAACGGAGTGGCATATCTTTTCACACCATCCACATCAACTTTTTTAGACTTGGAGGCCAACAATTCCATAGCTGCCTGATCTTGCTTAGACCTAGTAATGACTTTCTCATTCCTGAAAGGAAGGATGTCTACTTTCCATAATTTCTCCACATCATGGCGAAGTTCTTCTAGGGGATTAGCGATGGTAAAAAGACACTGAGTCTCATCAGTGTTAGGAATCGGTATTGGGCCTTGAAGTACCCATCCTAACCTGGTCTGTATTGCAGCTGGAGATTTAGGAGGCCCGAAATACACCTGATCAATGGGATTTATCAGGTGTGGATAGTCTGCACCGATAAGAACAAGTGGTTGGACATTAGAGAAGGCTGGAAGGGGTAAGTCTCGAAGATGTCTGAAACGTCTCTGCAAGATCTCAACAGGATACGTCTGTTCTGCCAGTCCCAATCTAGCAGCAGAAAAGGCATTGGAAATGGAATACTTCTTTTCTGGATTGGTCATGGAAGATATTTCAAAGGTTACAGAAGAACCTTCAAGTGCAAGGGTATCTTGACGTACAGTTCTAACAATTAGGGACTCAGGTACCCCATTGAGGCCCAAAGACTCAGATGCTTGAGGTAGCAACATGGTACGTTCTGATCCATCATCTAAGATGGCATAGGTTTGCAAGGATCTTCCTTTATAATGGAGAAGTACTTCAACAACTTTAAGCAGGACCCTACCAGAACCTCCAAGGCGACTAAGATAGAATGTACCGTTATCTTGGTCACGACAATTAACTCCATGAAGGATACCAAGATGTCTGCCTTTGCACTGTGGACAGGGTTTCTTCAAGTCACAGTTGACAGCTAGATGGTTAAGCCCGCATCTCCAACATCTTTTGTTCTCTCTAATCCATGCATCCTTCCTGGTATCTTCTAGAGATTTAAAAGAGGGGCACAGGCCAATGAAATGATCTCTACTGGAACAATAGGCGCATGAATATTTGGAACTCCATTCTCCATCTCTCACATTCTGGGGTTGCTTATTAATGGATCTTGGCACAACAGAATTACTGTTAACTCCGTACAAGACTGTTCGAGTGTTAATGGAAGTCTTTGGTTGAGGTTTACTCAGGAATGGTTTTGGAAAGTCACTAACCTGATCAGCCATTGCTTGACACTCAGCTTCTTCTTGGAGCCAAGCGGAAAAGCTAATCAGGTTGTAGCTTTGACCCTTTAGGATTGTACGGGCATAACGGGCAAAGTTGGTCACATGCTCTGTGGGCAGTTTACTGAGTAGTTGCTGTACATGAGAAGCACAGGACAATTCAGATTTAACTTGGTCTTGGCCCGAAGATTGGAGCATGCCAACCAAAGCTCGAACCTTTAATGCGAAGCTACTAAATGCTCTGCTGTCACCTGGTCTCACCCTGGGGAGAGCTAGAATGGCTTTGATTTCTCTCAAAACTAGTTGGTGAGGTTGCCCATATTTCTGCTGTAGTGCAAAAAGAGCCATACTGTAAGGCCTAGGATCGTTAGCATAAGCTAAAGCTAGATCACGAGCTGGAGAAAATTTTAAATGATCTAACAAGATATGGAATTTGTAATGTTCTGGCTCATGGGGTGACAACAAATTTGTCAATGCTAGCTGCAACATTGCAAATTCTTGGGGATCATCATTAACCAGGAAAGGAAAGGTAGGTCCCTGAACACGAGAAGTAGGATAGGAAGGAACAGGATATGATGCATAATATGGTTGGGAATATGGATAAGGATGAAGGAATGGAATTGCAGTTGACTGGGTAGTGGGAACAATTGGTTGAATATGTGGGGCAGGAGGTTGTACAACATCATTCCCTACCTGACCTACAGATTGCATGTGAGGGCCTACATTAGCTGAGGCTATATGAGGAATTGCCGAGCTAGAGGATGGTCCTAATGGCTGTGAATACTGAGAAACAGCATACCGAGGCTGTGGAGGTAACTGTGCTGATGTTACTTGTGAGGATAACTGAGAATGAACCATGGCAGAGGAAAATGAACTACATGGTAAAACTGGTTGTGGTGGACCAGTTGGTTGTACCAACACTGGTGATGTTTGCACTTGAGGGGACTGACAATTAGAAGGCCCAGGAACCAATGGAACAATAGAAGATTGTAACATACTAAATTGTAGTTGTGATGCTATATCATGTGTGTGCATCTGTTGGGGTGGACTACGTAACAATGAGGAAGGAGGAAGAGGCAGAGAACTAGGCCTACTAAATGGAAGCAGTGAAGGAACAGTTGAGGAATTACATTTCTCACATGTAGGTTTCTTTTCAGCTGTCTTAATACATGCACACAATTCTTGAACAATAGATGGATTAACTAAGGCATTATCATCATCATCAGAAGCATCATCAAAAGACTCAGAAAATTCAGAATGTCTGGAAGAAACTACTAACTGTGACATTTTAGACATCATCTCACCAAGCATACCCTTAAGTCCAAGTATTTCTTGTTTAACATCCATATCGAGCAAATCATGTTGAGGCTGTTCACAAGGAGCCAATGAGCTTGGGGAATGTCTTAAAGGTGGATTTTCATACTGAGTTTGGTGATGATCACTTACAACTAGTGTTGGTGAGGGAGGCGGAGGAGGACCATATTCTCTCACCATACAGTCAACAAAACGGGCAGGAGGTCTTCTGCTTCTCAGGCTGCGCCGGATTGCAGGTCTTGCATGGTAATCCATTCCACCAAATTTCTATCTCCGGCTCGAAGGACCATATATTGGATCTCAGATGTTAAATGTATCCAAAGTTCGTTGGAGTTGTAGAAACTTGATGGTGTGTCTGATTAAAACACATGGAAAAAATACCAGTCCTTTGCTCTCTTTTATTTTCAGTTCAGGATGATAAAGTCTTAATTCACATGGAGCTGACACACATGATGCCAATGAACAGATGTTAATGGAGGGACAGGATAAACAGGACGTACAAGATGGTCTTTAGTCACTACAAACAATACAATAAAGGAAATTAAACTCATATAATTCATCAGTAACATATCAACAACATATATTTTAAACAATTGACAAAACAAACTTACTCAACGCATCCTAAGGAAAGGACATGGTTGGGTGTCCATTCCAACCACCACACCTCACCAATACAAAAGGAAAAAAGGGAGGAAGTGAGGTCTACTTATAGACCTTGCCCAGGGGGTGTATGGGTAATGTAGTGAAACTGACAAAAGGATTGTGGGATATGAAGTGCAAATATGTAAGGAGAAAGAAAAAAAATAAATAAAAAGTATAATTAAAGGATCAAATTCACAACAGTGGTGTCACGAAGCGATGAATGGATCTAATGTGAAATTTTTCTGATGTGATTTTTTCACTCAGCTTGACTGGTCTCTTGCCTTGAGAGGGAGTCTGGTGGTGGCTTTGGAGGATTCCAGTCTTATTCAAGTAAACGTTGAAATGCACAAACCAAACATAACAGTTCAAGGGAGGAGGGGCACCGTCTTAAGCCCTGTGCAGGTAAGACTGTGCTGTCAGATTGTGGCTGTGAGAATTTGTAATAGCTTAGTAGTGAAGCAATATTTTTAAAATACAATTCATAGTAAATATTTTATATTTTTTCCTTTAAGTAACAATATTTGTGCGCCCCCCCCAAACACCTTCCTCCCTTCAAAAGTTGATTTTTTTTTTTTAAATCTTAGTGTGAGATGAGTATATATTCTAATATGAACTGATATACTGTCTAATGTGTTTGTTTTTGACAATTGGTGAAATTTAATCAATTCATTTAAATAAATTCTTTATTATCAATTTTATGTCATCATTTGTATAATTAGGCCTATATACACTACCATGCACAAGTTTTTTTTAATAAGTCTTTTATGCTCACATGTCTGCATTTATTTGATCAAAATACAGTTAAATAGTGAAAATATTATCACAGTGTAAAATAACTTTTATTTATTTCAATTTGAATATTTTTAAAATGTAATTTATTCCTATGATGCAAAGCTGAATATTCAGCATCATTACTTCAGTGTCACATGATCCTTCAGAAATCATTCTAATATGCTAATTGTCAGATTAATAAACATTATTTTTAAAATCAATGTTAAACTGTATATATTCTGTTTTTAATATATATTTTTTTAATTTAAATGTCCTTACTGAATAAAAAAAAGAGTTATAGACCACAAAGTTTTGAACATTTGTGTAATATTAGTGTTGGAAATCCCAATTAGTCATTGTATTGGGAGACACGCCCACTTCCTTAAACTTCCTTCACCTGAGGATAATTACCTTACCAATCACCCTCACTAGTGTGTTTCTCTTTGTGCTGACTGTTTGCTCCTCTGCTTGCTGCATGTGTTTGCTGCGTCTATGACTTTGTAAGTTCATTTAAACTTTCTGTATTGATATTAATTTTATAACTGTTGATTTGTTTAAAGATTTTCTTTATGGTGATGTGAATATATATTTATGTAATTTGTATCAGTAAAGTTAACTTTGTTTGATTGTAGACACCAGCAATATGCAGCAATTGTAAAGTCATATGAAAGAAATGGGAGAACCAAGAAAGAAAGCAAATGGCAATAAATCAACTGAGAAGTAACTTCTGGACTCATTCCTGTGTTCTAATCGACACACCATTCTGGTAGCACTCATCCTTAACCAGCTAAACACCGAATAATTTACAATTAGGCATTCCAAAAATTACGTTATTTTCAATTTGAGGAGTATTTTTTTGTCACTTTCGTTTGCTTTTTTGTGTTGTTGCCCCCAGCCCTTGTAACTTACCGACCTTGCTTGAACTAGTTATTTACTAAAGTGTACCACCTAGTGGTTTGTAAGTGAATAGCATTTTTTTGGTACTTGAATGCTTAGTTATTTTGATCCTTTGTGCTTTAATTGAGTCAAAAGCAGGGCTAGAATTGAAAGTGGGAGTGAATTTCAAGGGGGACTTAAATCCAAAGTTCAAAATGTCTTATCCACATAATAGCAAAAATGCTATGCAAAGTTCATTCATAAATATAGTGTGATTTTCATCATTTCATCCACTGCCTGGTCAAAAATAGCCAAACTGGCTAAAGAATTGACTATAAACCACTTATTTAATCCACAGCGTACTTCAAACAATTCAACAGCAGGTTTGTTTCATTAAAAGAATTCTAATCTTTTAGGTTTTCAAATCTGAAGGACATTTCTTACCTCTCAAACTGGTCAGTGGCCAGTATGCCTACAGCATGGAGGCGACCTGCCCAAATGGTTTGTTTCTATGTCTTGTTACTAGCATTTAACTTCTTTATTTTGCAATATTTCTATCACTTGCATATTTGAACAGCCATTCTGCATGTTTCTTTCAGTGAACCAGTTGCCATCTGAGGACACGGTGCTGCATGTCTATAAACGGCGCATGGGCTTGACCAAGAGAGGTGGATATCAAAATGAGACCCTGTCAGTTAGCAATGTGATTGTGGAACAGACTGACACATTCACCTGGTCAGAGACGAGTGACTTTGTGCATCTTGTCATTCCCACATCCCACATTCAACAGAAAAAGGTCAGCAGTGAATAACTTTATACATACACTACCATTCATTTTTTTTTTGAAAGAAAGGAATACTTCTTTTCAGCAATGTTACATTAAGTTGATTAACAAAGTACTGTATATTAAGATATCGCAAATTTCACAAAAAAAATTCTATTTCAAATAAATTGTGTTCTTTTAAACTTTATATGATTTACAGGTTATTAAAGGTTGTATCAGCGATTTCAGGCCCAAAAAAGGCCCAAACATAAATGATGACTTTCATCTAATTCAGGGTTCCTCAATCTTGGGCCTGGACGGCCACTGTTTGATCAGGGTTGGAACTTAATTCTGCAGGATAGTGACCCTCCAGGGCCGAGATTGAGGAACCCTGATCTAATCTTTCCTAATGATCCGCTGCCCGTCCTATAAGCAGGCCGTCAAAAAACTGCGTCTTTGTAGATAGAACCTTTAAGCAAAACACTTGTTTTCAACTTTGATAATAATTAGAAATGTTTATTGAGCAGCAAATCAGCACATTAGAATGATTTCTGAAGGACGTAATGTTGCTGAAAATTCAGCTTTGCCATCACAAGAATAAATTACATTTTAAAATACATACAAATTTAAAATTAAAAGAGTTTTGAAGCTTTGAAATAAGGATCTGTACATTTTGATTTAATCTATTTGAATTCTATTGTTTATTTATCATGTGTACTGTCATTTTTTTCTGTCTTTTTAGGAGTGCCGTGGTCAGGAAGGTGAGACACTTCAGCGAAATTTCTACAAGATAGATGCGGTTCTCACCTTTAAAGAGTCAAATCACAAAATGCACTGGACCATGGAAAACACCTCACCATGTTCAGGTTAGTGTCGGCTCAAAAAGTCCCTTAGTCACTGAATCAGGTATTCAAAATTAAAAAAAAAATTATACAAATGTATTTCAGAGATGCATGATGAACCAAAAGAAGCCAATTTCACCACGCATTCTCCTGAGGGGATGACAGGTGAGCCAGAAGCTTCTGTTGAATCCAACAAAGAGTTTACTCTATCCGTGCCGCTAAAGACTACATCTACAGCATCACAGACAGCAACCAGCATCACATCGGTACCAACCCAACAAATCCAAACAACCGAGGCTCTGAGAACATGGGGGAAAAAGTGACTGCAGTCTATACTTTACGTCCTAGACAACAACAGAGATCCCTCCAGAAGTTCATCTGTGCATCATTAACTGTGAGGGGCCGTAATGCACAACGGATGGAAATGCAGGTACCAACTGCACGTGTCAGTGTTTTTTCATACTACACTATTACAATTGGTAGTCCATTAATCACAGCAGATGTAATCACAATTTGAAATACAGCTACACATTTAAGCGCCATTTTCACTCAGACTGGGATTTACAACACAACAGTCAAGTGGACCCATGCATCTTTTCCGTTGACAAGCAAAGTGCCATTGGAATCACATGCAGGGAATGATTACATCTAAGACTGTGTTGGTCATGCCAGTTAAAAACAAGCTACTGTCTTAGAACTCTCTCAGCTGTGCGTTTCCTCTCGGGAGTAAATGTGGAACAGTAATACATTTTGTATCTAGCAAAAATTCTCAAGTTGTTCACTAACTATCCCAGTCGCTTTCCTGAAAGACAGAAAGTGCCTGACAGTTTAGAAATTGCCATAATGTAGTTTCTGTAATGTTTTTTTGTTGTATTATATGATCATTTAGGTGTATTTAGAGATCTTTATAGCTTGTTTATTTATAACGTGGCTCACTTGAATACTCGCAGCATTCATCGGTCTAAAATACTCACGGAGGGCCATATATTGCTACATATCACTCTGATTATCTGGGTTTCTGAAACCAGTGTCGTGAGAACTCGGGTCCTCCCTCGAAATCGGTTTTCAATCAATAGTTCTACGTACACAAAAGCCACATTCATTTAAAATATGTACAGTATGTACATATACGATATGCTGTGTAATTAAAGAAATTGGACAATGGAATTTCTTTCTTTGATTAAACTTTTATTAAACAATAAAACTTATAAGTGAAATATTTGTTCATCTAACAATTACATACTGGCATTATTATACTGGCATCATCTGTCTCGTATCACACTGCATACTCATTCTCCCTTGTTTCTTACAAACATGTTATTGATTCTAGTAAAAATGACCTCAGATGTCTTTTGTATTAATATTACTGTGAAAATCGTTAATTTAGTACATCGTTATGGACTATTTTATGTGCATTATACCTTACAGAAGGTATGTATTGGAAAATACAACGAATAACATATAATCTTATGACTGACACATGATCTGGATTAGTACATGTTGTGTTTTTGACTAAAACCGATGATGTGGACAACCACCAGAGATGTTTTCTTGCTGAAGCCTGGTTCAGTGTTTTCCTTCAAGGGTGTGATCTCTGTTGTAAAACTGTCATTTCACTGAACTATTTTGTCCCTTTAGTTACACTTTGATTCTGGCTAGCAAGCTCTTAGTGGCAGTATGTTGAACAGCCAGAAGAGGTCAGTGTTGTTTAGTGTTTGGCTTTTGCAAAACATTCCGATCATCACTGTGTAAAAATGTGTTAAATGTTGTGGTCAGTGTCAGTTGCTCTAAAATGCATATATATATTTTTTCATATGCATGAATGAAGCTTTATGGCCGTAATTTATTTTACTCATAAGACATTGATGTACATACTCAGATCCAGTGGAAAAACAACCTTAAATGTGAGGTTGGTTAATTTGCCTTTACTACGCAATTTCCCACGCTTGAATGAATTCAATTAGACTTTTGAAAGGGCAGGCCATTTTAATGTAACCCAGGCAAGATATTCTTCTTAATTCTGAGCATCTGGAGGAAAAAAAAAAAGACCACTGAGACTCATGAAATTTATTGTGATTACAGTCTTGATATTTGAGCAAACCAAAGAACACCCTTTCTCATCCTAATTGTGTTTGTGTCTGAAAATATGTGCTCTATATTAAATGACAAAACAAGAGCACATTTGTATGCGTTGGTTAATGTGTCCTCTAGAGCTTTGCACTCCGGCAGGGTGTAATTCTCACCCAGGGGGTCAGAGGGGGGCCACGCTACCAGGGTTTTCTTTGGCATCTGTTGCATGAACTTGTGAACAGGAAACACAATAACAGCACAAAGTACACCAACATCTCAAGTCTTTCATGTGGCTGTTTTGAGCCATTATGTTATTAGTGTAGGCTTAAAAATTCCTTTCATGTCCCCCTCCTTTTCTTTTTCATATGAGTTGCACATCTGTGAGATGTTTGAGAGTAATACAGAATTTAACCAGTGTGTGGTTTCAGAGATGTTTTTAATTGTCATAATTGATAACGATGTGAGTTAAACAGTCACACATTACCAAAACTTCGTATTTTTTTATTGAACATTTATTACAGCCATCCTTCGGTTTAAATGTGTGTCACAGTTTGTTAATTTAAAAGAAATACTAATAATCAAAATCACATCAGTGAAAAAACATCAGTGTTAAAACGTATATGCACTGTAAAAAAAGTTGCTGCCTTAAATTGTTAAATGTTATATTACATTAAACTGAATTTAAAAATTAGTTCATTAATCTTGTAGTTAACAACTTATTTTGCAGAGTTAATGCAACATAAAAACATCTGTTGACATAACTTGATTATATATATTTTCATATTGTACAGTGGGATCCAAAAGTCTTAGTCCGCTAGTGAAAATGGTTTACTTTATTCTAAAAATATTATAAATATAAACATTTATAATGATAAAGATGTTTTTATAATAACTAATATATAGTAAAAAAACATGTATTTTGTCTCAAGTGATTTTAATAAAAATGTAAAATAGACATTTGAACCACATTTAAATGAAATGTTTGAAACCATGTGTATATAAAAATAATATTTTTAAATGTGGTTCAATTGACTTGGAACCTACTATATATCATCCGTTAGTGTTCGTATTTCTTGCTAAGGTTTGTAATAGCAGGCTTACAATTGCGGCTTGAACCGATTCAGCGATGGGCTTTCCACTACAGGACAAAAGCTGGCAGAGGTAAGAGGCTCTTGGAAGGGAAGGGAAGGCTTTGGTGGTTACGCTCTGACTCTTTATCTTACTTGCTGGGCAATTACAGAATCATGGGTCAACCATGCATGTAACCACAGCTTCGTTGCACAGTAGCAGATGTACTCATGGCATTAGCTGGTAGGAGCGTGAAGGTAAACATAAACAGATGCAGCTGGTTGCTAGGGACACTTGCCAACTTGCCCTAATGATTCCCATGTGTGTGGTTGCATATCTGCAGCAGTGGGCAGGATGCAGTGTTTCAGCAGTGCTAGAGTTTCTCAATGGGAGATTTGTGAATGAGTTTAGCAGCAGTGGTTTTTGGGAGGGTGTTTCCCATTGGCATTGTGCCCCTCCTTGTAAGTTAAAGCTGATGAAGCAGTTTTCTTCATGACTTCAATTTACCATTGATTATAATGTTTGCAAATGAATGGAAAAGCCTTTTATTATTATTAGTGTGCCTCATGAGTGGTATATTTGCTTTCACATATTTTCCTTTTATCATAGTGTAATGAAGATTACTGTTTGCAATTGTGCATTAGGCCCATTTGTGGATTATACAAAGCTATTTCAAAAATAGTCTTCACAATACTTCATGACATATTATTTTATCACATCGTTGTGGGGCCCTAAAAATTTGAGACCACATTGAACGTTTGGGATTACAAATCAAATTTAAACCATGAAAAAAAAAAAAAAAAAAAAAAAAAAAAAAAAAATATATATATATATATATATATATATATATATATATATATATACATTAATTAATTTTTAACTTAATTTTTGTAATGTTTTTGATTTTGACAGAAGATCTTCGGCTCAACAAGTCTGCCTTTTTTTTTGATGAAAAATGCATTAAAAACTGTCATATTTTGAATAATTATTAGATTTTAAAATAACTGTTTTTATTTTATTTTTTTAATTTAATATATTCCTGTGATGGCAAAGCTGGATGTTCAGCATCATTACTCCTGTCTTCAGTGTCACATAACCTTTTTATTTATTTATTAATGTTTTATACATAAGCTGCTTTTCTCAGTATAAGCACCGTAAACACAACAGCAAAATAAAATGTTTTTCAAATGCAGCTTTATTGATTTATCCAAAGGTCAAATGTTATATTCGTGCAATGCAGTCTTTGGTGTAATTCAGTGACAATATAGTTCTAAATATCCTGTGAAACGTATTCTTCATCTATTCACAGTTTTTCATGATCTATTCTTCAGCAACTATGACATGATGTTCATCAGTAAGCGGTATAGACAGACTTACCAACCTGACAGGTTTAGTTTGGAGATTAAGATTGAATTGTGACACATAATAAACTGTCTTGTCCTGATCTTGTAAGCTAAAGTCCATTAAGCAGTTGATGTTTGCATTAGCTGCAGCGTTACATCTCACCAAGGCCTTGTTCTGGATTGTCAGTTTGAACCGGTTGGGTACGTGCCTGATGCTGCAGCCTCTGGGAGGTCCCCTTTTGAACCGTGTCCAGGCCTGTAGCCCAGATGAGATCTTTAGGAAGGGGTTGAGTTTTTGTGATATCCTGTGTGTGTTCACCATCTGATTACACACGGGGCCTAATTCCCCCTTTCGAGTGTGTGTTAATGACATCCAGGTTAAATAGACTCGCAAAGAGCTCAGCGGAAATAAAGCGAATGCTTTTTCTGACTGGTATTTTGATTAGAAAATGATTTCGCTTGCATCCACTGCTTCTGTTCGACTGGAATGAGTTGCTCCAGATCTCGGTGTCAAAGTCCCCCACTCTCCCTCCCCTTCTCCCAGCATCCTCTTTTGCTGTGAAGCCCTCTGCCAACAGCCTGCGCCTTTCCTCTCTCTCTCATTAACCACAACTGTCAGATCCTCCAGATGATGAGCAATTAAACCAGATAATAAACGCTTGCCATCAATTCCTGTTTGTTTGTTGTTGTTGTTGTCGTTGGCGGCAGGGGCTCCTCTCATGCCACCTTAGTGCTAACTAGTACTTCTGTAATGCACCACCGGTAGCAGAACCGCTCTCTCAGAGCCTTCTGCCAACACTAACAAAGCTCTAACTGCTCATTGTAAGGCACCAGATTGATAATAAGGCACACTGAATGTTAACAATTAGATCATAATCAGAGCCAGCACGCCAAGGCTGCTCTTTTATCCCCTGCTTGAAAGAATGGCAAACAAAGCTCTGCAAACTGCTAAGATAAAATATTACCTCAGAATAATCATGTCTCTCAGCTACCAAAAGCCACGTAAGCTGTACAGCGGCGCACATACGACACGCTGGCAAAGACACGTCTGTTTGCTCATGTATTAGAGCGATATGACGGTCTTGATGCGTTTTACTAGCCGTCTCTTCCTGGAAAAGAGGTTAAAGGTGGACCGTGTGATTTCTGAGCCATTAGCGTCAGCAAACTGAATTTTATATATACACTAGCGTTCAAAAGTGTGAGTCAGTAAGATTTTATTTTGCAGAAATTATTACTTTTATTGAGCAAATATACATAAAATAATGCAAATTGACAGTAAAGACATTTATAATTATACAAAATATCATAAATTCCTAAAAAAAAAAATGATTACGGTTTCCACAAAAATGTTAAACAGCCACTGTTTTTAACATTGCTGATAAAAAGAAATGTTTCTTGAGCAGCAAATCAGGTGTGACGCTGAAGACTATAAAGGCTACTGAAAATTCTGATTGGACATCACAGGAATACATTGCATTTTAAAATGTATAAATATGTTCAAATATAAAACGCACTGCAAAAAAAAAAAGTTCAGTTGCTGCCTGTTTGGCTGGTTTCACAGACAAGGCTCAAGTTAGTCCCAGACTAAAATGCATGTTTTAACTGAAAACAATATGCATTGTATATCTTAAAATATGTCAGTGGCATTGTTTTGTCTCAAGATGCGCACCAGTAATTTTTTTAAGGCAAATTTTTAAAAGCTACTTAAATGTCTTAATTTAACTAAGACCTAATCCTGGTTTAATCTAAGCCCTGTCTCTGAAACTGGCCCTTTAAGTATAATCAACTTTCATCAACAATGATGAAAACGTGTTGCCATGACTTATTGATCATGTAATTTTTTTATTATATTTTTATCTTTTTTGCTTTGAATGTGTTTTTTTTTTATTTTTTATGTATTTATTTTTTTTTTTAACTTGGTTAGTTCACTTTAATGCATTACCTGCAATTACAGATGTTTTGACAATTGATATTAAACTTTTGATTTAAATAATGGTTGAACCATTTAAATATTATATAATACAAATAAGCTTGTGTCAAGACGAAACCAATTTTGTATCTGATTTCGTTTAACTTGCTTCATGTGTCAGGCACAAACAAACTCAGCAATGTATTAATGTAAAGTCGAATGTCTTTCATTTATTTATTACACTTTTCTCGGCCATCAGGTCTAGGATTAGTTGCTTTTTTTGTCTGTGTTACTGTTTAAACGTAGTGCGTTTGAAATTCACAATTTCAACATGGTGCTTCAACCATTGTCCTATAGATCGCAAATGAACTGCTCTGGATGGTTCTCACATTTTGAGCATGGGCCAAACATCTTGAACTTTGAAACTTCCTTGCTACAGAGGCCTAAAAACAGGTTTTGCTATACTGGAAGTGTCTCGAAAGAATAACAAAACAGTGTCCGTATATATCCGTCACAACACAGACAAAATATACTGGCTATTCACTTGAAGAAATAAGAAAAGAAGCAATCTGATTTCCCGTTCTCCATGGAAAAATATAGTTGCCCCTTTGTTTTGAAATAGAATTTCCCTCAAAACACTTTGGAAACTAAACAAAATTGTCCATCATTAGATTTATTGTCTTTTCATCCTTTGTTTCTGCAGGCTGTTTGTGACTTTGCTATGGAAACGTAGGTATTATTTACCCTCGAGTCGGTTTACAATATAACCTTCCCTTTCCTGACTAAACAACAAAGGAAATATCGGTTCAGGCGTCTCCCTGCTAACTTCATCTGGCAGATTCTGTGTCACTTTCAGTGTTTATACACAAACCCCGATAATGATGCATTTGAGGTCTATTTTTGAGCATGAGCTGATGAAACTCTTGAACCTATCTGAGCAGCCATCCTGTTTTGCCCACCTTCTGGAGTTTAGTGGAAACGGTTTATATAGATTTTACTAAAACACTTCTATTTAAAAGTACACTCTACTTCCAAATCAGGACATGAGGCACACATTTGCGTCACAATGAGTCAGTTAGTTGTCAGTGATTGGGACTGTGGAATTTTCCATGGGGATTTGGGAAGAGATTGTTAATCTTGAGTGA